GCTTCTCCGGCTCCTTGAGAGACTGAGTTAACTCAAACCCATCCCGACCAGCCCAGCCGGACTCAACACAGCATGGCCCAGCGGATCGCAGTTTACCCCAAGGACAAACTTAGACCACGACTGGGCGCACCCTTCTGTCCGAGCATTTCCACAGAGTGTCGCTTTTTTCCTCCATTCCCGGTGTTTCATCGACATGTATCCGAATCTCGGCCTCCGTCTACTATCGGCCTAACGTCTTCTACCTACGCTTGGCAATGCGGCGCTACGCATCTAAGGCCGGGCTACGCCCCGCCCGCTACACAAAGGCTACGGCCGCATCTGGTTAGCGAGGCTTTTGCGGCACGGCGGTGGCGACTCAGGAACGGCGATGGAACTCTGGGACTGGTCTGATGGATGGCGAACTGTCTGGACTGTCCTGGTGGGAGCCTCCACTGTCCTGGATTTTCCTGTCCGGAGGCGTCTATCTGGGGCCTGGGCTGTCTTGTGTGGAGAATGGCTGTCCCAGGCGGTCTTGGTGTCTGACGAACTGTCTGTCGTGAGCTATCTTTGTGCGAGAAACGGAGAGGAGAGGAGGGACCAGGGACTGAGATGTAGTATCTGGTTGCATGTCTAAATATGACTGTTTATTCCGCTGTTCAAAATATTGCAGGAAAGTTTATACGACCTTAGATTGGCACCATCAATTTGTTTCGCAAGTTTTTGGATGCATGGTAGGTATTGTGAACAAAAGGAAAGATGCTTTTGACTTTTGGTGACTTTTTTGCCAGCAGTGGGCTTTCTGGATATTGCATATTCCTGCAGCCTCGCTCATTGTTCATGTTTTATACAAAGCCAGCTCGCTGCTGCAGCTGCCAACTGCTGCTATTCTTGTAACACACCCAACACGTGCCAAACAGCCAACCGTTAAGAAACCGGCCGTGCCTTTCTGTCTAACCGGTGGATGCTACTGCGGTTATGAGCTCTACGTCAAAATGTTTCTGCCTGCTCATAAAGTGTTCGGCGTTTGAAAATTGTACATGGAAGGGGCATGGGGTATTCACTATTCATAAAACATCCAAGTCTAAGCAACCGAAGAAGAATTGGTTGTTAATTATTCAGAGGTTTTCTCTGCAGACATGGTGACCGGTATAGTCGGCCTCGGTGCCAGACCCATACGTCACTGGCTGGACGTCTGGGTCACGTGGTGTCTGGCGTGAGTGGGAGTCTCGTCTGATTTTGCCGGCCGTTTCTGGAGTCGCGACTCGCGGTCTAGAGAATAACAACGTCGTCTGGGCGGTCCATTGAAATCAACAGACACTGCGAACGGATGCTTTCTCTTCCGTTATTGCATCTCCATAAACAATCTGCCTCAATTTTCCACGGCCTCTCCTGGCTTCGTTGTAACTCCCTGATCTGCCACTTTTCCATTTTCATCTATTTAGGCGTTTCTGTAGGACTGCCCCGCCCCTCCAACCAACCCCCATCCAACCGGGTTGGGGGTTGGTTGGCTTCAACGCATCACCTCATAATCACCTCAACTGAAAAGCCACGATGCTTGTGGATGTTGTTGTATGTCTAAATAAATAAATCTAAATAAACCGGACCAAACCGACCAAGATGCACCGCCCTCCCGGGGCGTGTCAGGTTGGGGCGACTCTATTGGATCGGGCTCCTGTTAGCTATGAAAATGCGTCGAGTCAACGATTCAATTTCGGCGCAGCGAGGACCGTTGGAGGGACGGAGCGCCCGTATAGGACCATCAATTAGCGGGTGGGCGGCTGGACGCCAGTAGGTTTGTCATCCTCCGTCAGTCGTCAGAACGTGCATTTTTTTCTGTCGTAGGTGGTCGTGTCCCGTTTAGCATATCACGTGTTTGCTTGCTCTGTCTTCATGAGCATTGTAAAATAGTCCCAATGGGTTGACTGGTCAAACATGATAATTTTTTTATATTACAAAAAAAAAAATCAAAGACAAAATTATGCTAGCAAAGAAATAGGGACAACTTGACAGCGGTTTATGCAACGGAAAATCTAGAAAATTGAACTTGGTTGTTCTCAACAATAAGCCCGGCTCTGTATGACTTGCATGCTAGGCACATTTTTCACTGTTCAGTCGTTGGCTACTTGGCGTCAACCTTTAACAGTCCACGGTCCGCCGTCAGCCGTCAGCCGTCAGCCTTCAGCCCAGTCATCCGTTCAACTCGGGCTATTTGTTGGAGTGAGCTGCGGGAGGCCTCCAAGTTCGGATGGGCCGAGGTATAACGCCCAACGAGAGGCGGCTCGGCCAAGTTCGTGACTTTGGCGCTGCCGAGTTTCGTTGTTTGTAGCTGAGCAAGTGAGCCCCGTCACGCAGGCAGTCTTAGCGAGCGAGTGGTACGGTTAAAGACCGGAACGGCAAGCGCCGTGGGTGTCTGTCTAGAGGGGCTCAGGCTTCAGAGGGATGTGGTTAAAGGACGCTTGGTTCTTGGAAAAGTATTCAGTCCGTCCAAACGTCATCAATATTAGGAGTAGCACTGTAACCAGTCGGTTCGAGTTTGGTGCCGAATGGGGGAGCCGCCCGAACTATATCATTTTAATTTGGCTGAAATGGGCCTGCAGTAGCTGACATAACTACAAACCACTGCACAGTGGGCGATCCGGCCGGTGTAGCCTCGCGAAACCTATCGGCATTCATAACATCCATGTTTTTGAAGCTAGAACCACAATATTTAGGAGCAACCTTCTTGAATATCCAATGAGCATATGGTCTAAATAAGGACTATCTCTTTTAGGATTTGTGCTCTGTGGTGAGCTTGCAATTTGCCTAATTGCCGCTCGAATAACGCATGAATACTTTTGAGGGTATAGCGAAATTTATGACGATATGAGCTGGGTAGGACATTGAAATGGTGTGTACCTCCGTAGAAAATTGCTTCCAAACCAACTTTTTATTTAAACGATTATGTCCTACCAATTTATACATGTCATGAAACAGCGTAAATCTCGCCCGGCAAGGCCCCATTTCATAACGTGACCCAAGCAGCGGGTTTGGTTTTTGGTAAATAACTTCGCAAAAAATGGCCGCAGAACCACGATTTTGACATCGTCGTGTTCGCCTTGCTCAGGCGCGTCGAATGGTATACTTTTTGTTCAGGTGAGGCCACCGTAAGGTGTTGACCTCGAGTCAAGGTCAGGTCAGAGGTCTTCAAATCACGAAGTTGGTCAAAGGAGGTTATATCGCATATCATTCGATTCGGCAGGTCTTCCGGAGTCCATTGGTGACCTTGTCGACTCTCTAGCTCAATTTGATCGGGAGTTATTGACGAAAAACTCGTATGACCCTAGTGACGTCATAAATGACGTCATGCAAGGTCAACAATGCAAAAATGCCGCATCAGATCTTGCAAGGAGTGCATGAAGTAACGATTCCATGTACTTGAGACAATTGAATATCATTCCTGGCGCCAAAATAACAGTTTTCATATTTCCCCATTGATTTTTAGGTGAGGTCACGTGACGAACCTGACTTTATGTGACATTTAGGAAAAATCTGAGATATAAAAGTTGTAAGACCTCTAAAGGACAATAAGTCCTGCAAGTCTCACCTCCCTGTGAAAGTTACTCTGGCACTGAGAGCGTTGCAAGGTTGCGACATCTGAGGATCGTGCAGAGTTTAATTTATGACGTCATAGGTCAGTGACCTGACCTGACTTGAAAGTGCGGTTGGTGTCACAAGATTCGGCGTGCATCAAAGGTCAGGTATGCCAAGTTGAAGTTCTCTATTGCCTGGGTGTTTTGAGCTATCGCGAAAACACCCTTTGTGGCATTTACCACTTGTGCTCAAGTGCACCAAGCCTTGGCCAACCCTTAGAAGAAAAAGGTGTCTGGATGCCAGGGCTGCAAGTGGCTGCAAATTTTCACTGGCTCTCCTAATAGATAGTGTCTAAGTGCATGCGATACAGCATTATTTTCAGTTCATCCTCGTAAAACTTTTTTTGCTGGGCTTGGTTAATTCAGTGAACGTAATGTTCAGTGGTAGAAAAAAATATAAAAAGTTAACTTAATTATAAGACATTTTGAACTGATTTTGTCTACTTGCTTTCTATGGCGGAATCGTCTTAACATCTAAATTTCACTTTCCATGCAAAATGGATGCTCAACACCTAGCAATTTCATCGTTCCGCAAAATATTCAAAGAGCGTAAATATCGGCTGTGATTATGAAGTGTTACGGAACGCTGTCTTTAACGATACTTTTGTCGACGAAAAAATGTCTCCTGAGCCATGCAAATGCTTTAATCGTAATCTTTGATGAATTTTCTGTCGACTAGTATGCGTTGTTTCCCAATTTTCGGAAAACAGTGTCTTTGAAGTTTCGCGAGGCTAGACCGGCCCGATCGCCTACCGTGCACTGGTCCGTATGGAGTCTCATCCTACATGCGCGAGGTTTCGACGCATTCCATTTCATTTAATTACATAGCGAGGCGCGATAATTATGCTCGTTAGCTTTCCGAGCGTCTCTGCTCCTGCTGAGGTCGACTGGGCCGCGATAACGCTGCCTTTTGCTGGCACGGCAATCCGTGACTGTACTGCCGGGAGTCGTTAATGGTCCCACCGTCCTGACCACTGCGCTGATGGTCAGCGTACTGCGTAGCCAACGTCGCTCGCCGCCCTCGTCCCGCCCACAGTAGCTCCAAATGGCAGACTTCCGCCGACCTTCGTCCTAGGCCCTATGCATATGTTCGGCCATCCATCGTCCACAATCCGCTGTTCACCATCGCCCTACGCTCTTCAGCTTCCATCCTCCGCTCTCCGCTTTCCGTCCTCCGCCCCGTCCACCGCCCTCCGCCCTTCGCCCTCCGCCGTCCACTGTCCACCGTATTCCGGCTACCGTCCGTCCTCCGGTCTCCGCCATCAGTTCATCGCCTTCCGTCCTCCGTCTGCCTTCCTCCCTCCACCATCCGACCTCCGCCCTCCGTCCTCCGCCGCGCCCCCGTAACTACCGCTGCGCCGGCTCGCCGAGCCCGCGTTCCATTGAGCACGATATATGTATAGGTATATCTGTCTACCTGCGCGCCACTAGCCCGCCTCGAACAAACAGCCTACGCACTATGGCCGCTCGGCACGCTGCTGCTTATTGCTGGTGCCGCTGAGGGCTGCCGGGCCGACCGGCTGGGCTCTTGGGTCCTCCTTGGGGGCCCATTGGGTCCACTGGGTCCCTCTCGGCCCCGCTAGGCCGTCCTGGTGACTTCGTCGTCGTCGTCTGGCAGGAGTCGCTCTGTTTCGTCGTCATCGGCGAGGGGAGCGCGGCGACGGCCGACGCGACGCACCGGCACCAGTCGACGCACCGGTGCCGCCGCCGACTTTATTGACCTGAGGGCACGGGTCGGGTCAGGGGTCAGATTGGTCTGGTGGAGGGCCGCGGCGGGGGCTCAAGGACACGTGAGTTGCGAATATAACGTAATAGGCCTATTAGGTCGGTTTAGAAGACGCTTGACTGTGTAATGTCGAAGTTACAAGATTGTCGACCCAACCTTTATAAACATAAAGCCGTAATACGCATTATAAACGACGCAGTGCGTGGCTAGGTTGTTCCAACCCTGAAAGGTTTGGGTTATTGGCCTTCAGTGTCAAAGGATGCTTGCGTTGAAGTGCAATTACCATCGATGTAATTGACTCCAATAATGATTCCAAGTACCATGTCTAATACACAGCGTTGTAGTTTAGCTAGCCTCCCTGTTCTACTCATCCTAGTAAAATCGCCTCGATCGACCTTGACCTGACGCTGTACAGACGGCCATTGTTTTGGATCGAGCCATGAGAAGACGGCTGAAGGCGGCCCGGTCACTTAGTGGAATTGTATCGCCGTTTCAGCGAGACCGCGCCGCGCCGGCATTGGCAGACGGCACGCGAGGCCACGGGCGTTGGCGTAGCGTCGGCTCTGTCTGTGAGCTCACAGGGCGGGGACGGGACGGGGCTGCCATCCGTGCCAGACAATTACGTGGACCGGCTACTACGAGGGACTCTGTCGGTTAACCAGGAAGCGTCGTGAACCGTTTAGTGGGGACTGCACCCGGAGGGGTCTTTAGTTAGATAGCGTGCTCCACTGTGGCCGGTAAATAGTCCAGAGAAACTTGGCCGCCGATAAGGCAGATTGCAGTTGCTGGCAGGCGTCTGGCTCTTGGTAGCTATGGTGAGTTGCTACGCAAGCGTAGTGTATCAAGCAACGGAGGTGAATGAACTTAATCGTTTCGCAACGTGATGTTTCCTGAAAATGCCAAGGAAATTTTAGACGATATTGAAATTTTGTGACTTTTATCTCGAGAAAGGTCTAATAAAATGCTCACATTAGTTTTGTAGTTGTCGGAATCCCCATTTCCCGAAGATGTTGCCTCCGGGGACCTTCCTAGTGCTCATATCGCCACCGTTTCCACGATATCCTGTGTTGGGAGCAGCGTTTTCGCCGAGCCGGCGGGAGCGGGCCCCCATTATCCGCAGCCAAAATTGGCGCCCTGCCGCGGCGACTGAGCTGACCAAGCCGAATTGGTGCTGGCCGCGCTGGGCTAGGTCTGTTCCGTGTCCGTTCCACGTGGTGGGTGTGGTGGGTAGGGCTGCGGAGTCGGTGTCAAAGTCGATCGGAGTCGACAGTTAGCCTGGAGTCAGAACTGGAGTCGTAGTCGGAGTCAGAGGCGGAATCTATTTTGGAAGCCAGAGTCGAAGTGGGAACCACCAAAAATCCATCGACTCGGCAGTCCGGAGCCCTGGTGGTAGGAATATGATGAGACAGGCGTGGCGGTCGTGCTGAATGCGTATGGAGACCGTGCTCTGACTATTTTGTGGCCGGCCCGTGGTTCGGTCTGTTAGTACCGGTCAGTGGTATAGGGTGTAGTGAGACCGGCTTGACACTCGTGCCCTAGCTGTGCTCTGTTGGCGTTAGACCGTGCTCTCGCCGTATTCTAGCCGTGCTTTGGTCGTGGCCCAACGGGCCGGGGTCTGACTGAGCCCGGATCGTACCGAGGCCCGGGGTCGCGGCTCGGTGGCACGCCGGGACGCGGTCCGACTGACATATGAGGTCGATATCCCCTGACTTATTGCCGCCGCCGCCGGCTGGTGAACGATTTTCTCTGCGGCCGCCCGGGCCCGGGGCACTTGCCGCCATATATATGGCCGGTGGGGTGAAGGCTCAGCCGCCTGGGAGGTGGGCAACGCGGGTCACATATCGCTCTGGAGCGAACACGACCCGGGGTGCAGCTCGGTTAAGAGGTCGATGCAGCCCTGGAAGAGGCTACACGTCCAGTCGGGGAGAACCTCGGTCGGTTCCCCGTGTTGGGATACAGTTGGCTCTGTAAATGTGTTCGGTGCTTGTGGCCGAGCTGCGGACACTGCCCGACGACTGTGTTCAATGCTCGACAGTGAACTGCACTCAAGCTAACATCACCGTCAGCGGCTCTGTTCTACTCAGTGGTCTCGGCCCACAAACCGGGTTATGAGCGTCTGCCACCGTGCTGTGGGACATTCAACAATTGAAATTCAGCCTGTCGAAACTGGCGGACCGTTAACCGCCCACAGCAGTGATCGCTAACCAGTGAGGAGGAAATATTTCGCCGGCATCACAATGACGGAAAAACAGTGAACTTTTGGTGGTGTTTTTCGCAGTCAATGCATCGGATTGAAAGCTGGTTCAGCTTGGTTTGACACCATTGCCAGGTTTTCGCTCAATGGCGTTCAATGACTCCCGTTCTTGGCTCTTTTGTTCCACTAAGAATGATTTTGTTCCACTAAGGTAGTCAATGAAACTTTTGTCGTGTAAAGAAGGGTAAAAAAGATATTATCGCAATTACGTGTTCTATGGAGCTGCTTTTCATATTTCCTATCTCATAATCGTCTGACTTACCTGCTGAATGTTCTGAGTATCTATATGACAAAAATTACATCCTGAATTCTTCATCTGATATGCAATATGCATGACATCAATATTACGCCATGATTTTGTCTTCACCACCAGACATTGCTTTGAATCACGGCGGTAGCTCCTTAAAAACTGAATATCTCCATTGAGCTGTCCGCGCCGCCGCAGTAAAACTGACGGGGCGGAAACTGTATCTACCCCGAGCACCGATCGGGCTTCACCCATCCAAGCTAATCTGCGGCCATCAGTGGGCTCGCATGAATAATGGACGAGACGAACCGCTGTGTTCGGGCAACCCCTGACATCTTACTCTGAATGAACAGTATTGTTTGAGCTGCCTGGTCTATTTGTAGTTCAGCACACAACCCTGCGCGATTCTTGCAGCTTGATCGGTCTGAGGAATTGTGTCTCGCTCCGTTGGGTTTTTACAAAAGAAGCAGGATGTGAAAGTGCATTCTTTGATGTGTAATTGATATTGCATCTATCGAGATGTAATCGATGTAATTTGACCTGAATTTTCAATGGTCGCATCCAGTGTGAAATCTGACCTTTTGCGACTCCATTGGTCTGACCTGACCCGAACCGACCTGACCCGCCGTGACCTGCTCTACCTCGCCGTGCTGGACTGACCTGACGGGCGCCGACTGGAACGAGGGTGCCGGGGAGCAGGGGTGGACCTGACCCTGACTTGACCTGACCTTGACTGACCTGCCGTGACCTGACCTGCCGTGACCTCGACTGACCTGACGGGCGCCGACTGGGAGGAGGGTGCCGGGGAGCAGGGGCAGACTTGACCCACCCTGACCTGCCGTGACCTTGACTGACCTGACCCTGACCTGACCTGCTGTGACCCCGACTGACCTGACGGGCGCCGACTGGGACGAGGGTGCCGGGGAGCAGGGGCAGACCTTATCCACCCTGACCTGCCCTGACCTTGACTGACCTGCGTTGACCTCGACTGACCTGACGGGCGCCGACTGGGACGAGGGTGCCGGGGAGCAGGGGCGGCTGGAAGACTGCGGGGACGGCTCACGGTGACTCTCCTTTATAGGAGGCAGGCGCCGGTCGGTCAGCATCACACTGGTCACCTGGAGGCACAGTATAAAGACGTCAGTCACATCATGCACACTCCAGAACACTGGTCAGCTGTGGGTACATCATCGGTCATCTGCTGAGCAGCTGCACGACCAGAACACTCGTCACTTTATGGAGGCGTCAGTCACTTGGGTCTGCATGTCACTACATGTCAATATACTTGTCATTTATATCAACATTATATTTGTTAACTGAAGAGCATCACCCGGCAGCCATAAGCCTTCACCGCCATGATACCACGAGATATCAGGAACAAAGGCGGCGGGCCTACAGGCAAGTTATTGGTCTTGCCGCAGGATGGCGCTAGTGCGGGCGCCTGAATTCATGCTGTGCCGCATTACACAGACCGCAGCGCTGTGGATAGGCGCGTTCAATTGTAGCAAAATTACGGCCTGCTGTTGCAAAAAATAAGGCTCTTTCTTGGTGAACGAGGACTGCGCCCGGCAATATGGCATGCTTTGGTTGGTATCCTGATAACACCGAATCCCTTGAGTGTACGGCATGGGTCATTGATCGCAACAGGCCACGCTATGTAGTGTAGATTGGCTAACGTCAAAACTCCAAGCACAATAGAATCCGATTATTTTTTATGAAAATATAAAATTTATGGCAACATGCAAGATTGGAATAGTTTAAGTACCAAAATTTACTGCTTTAGACGCTGCTTTTTACTGGTGTGGGATAAAATGGTGAGACAAATGGAGCACGATGACATAGCTGCTTTTAATATTCATGACCAAAGAAATAAAGAGAAGGAAGAAACAAAATTTGCCTCTATTATTGTGCTACAATACAAAGTTTTTTTTTAAGTAGCACAGGTTTTTATAGCATAGCCGCGAATAAAGCGTCATTGCCATCAGCTCATCGTTTGACGTGTCGAATTACGCTGTGGGCCTTGCTGGCATATGGGTGTTGGTAAGTACTAATGCCTCATGAATTAACTGTCACGTCACCATCCTGCTACCTTTGAAATTCATGCAGCTGATTTATGGCTGTTTGCGTAAGCTACAAAGCGGTATTCTTTTGTATTAGTTCCAACACGGTTTTCCTGCTGAATTGAATAACCGTATGATGAATTAAAGCTTTCTTGAACAGCGCGTTTGTTTTGGAGCAGCATTCACGTGGCTTATGTCAATGCTAACAGCATGCTAACCACCAAAGATAAGGACATTCTCGGACGACCCCTTTCCTCACCATTGGGATGTTCTATTGAGTTCATGTTTTATAAATAATCAAACCGTAACTGAATTCACGACATGAACTCGGAGCCACAGCGTCTGCCTCAATTCCCGTACGGACCCGACCCGTGCTTTAATTTCCGGAACGCATATCAGATTACGGTAGGCGGCCAGCTGGCATGTTAAGCCGGTAAATGAGCCAACCCGTTGCTCCCCTGCATATAAGGGGCGGCCGCACCGTCACGCACTAAAGCCGGGATCAGGGCGGGACCGCGATATGGTTACAGTTCACCGCCCGTATATGCGTGTAAAATAACATAATGTTATAGTATATTAGTGCTGAGGTCTTTCCGGTGTGAGTTCATGAAGGGACCGCGCACATACGCTGGTACTTACAAATATACCTTAAAACGTATGGTCCATTACAGAAGAAGGCAACTTGACATAACATACATTTTCCTTGAACATTTCCCCGAAAATAATTACACCTTGAGCTATTTTCTTTGCAATTTTATCGGACTCTTACCCAACCAGTATCTTTGACCAAGCTTTCCAATTTCGAGCGGAGAATTAAACTTTACTGCCCAGCACACAGATCACAAAACAATGTAATTTCGCTTCCCGGCTAGCCGTCTGTCTGGCCGATAGCACGCCGGGGGATATTGTTGGGTCTGGATGGCTGCAGGCACTGTTGCCGATTACCCGGGAGGTTGGGGAGGGGTTGAACCATTCTTCCTTGCGCAGGCTTGCGTGGATGGTGATAGGTCGTTGACTGACGCGTGTGCGTGTTGTTGTTTTTGGAGACCTTCTATTGTTACAATGTGATGTCGACCGTCCAAGACGTTTACTCTAATCACGGTGAACGCGCTGACTGCCCTGCCTCGGTTGAGTGCGTGGGCACGACGAGAGATTAATAATGTGAGCTGAGATATATGAACACTACGCTATTGGCGGAAATGAACGAGCTATGTCCTTCTAAAATTATTTATTACCGTGAAAGGGATACGAGTTCAAAATTTTATTTAAAATTTGTATTATAATATTTAGTTGTGGGCTGATTGAGATGGGTAGCCTGTATACATTCCGCAATGTAGATGCTAGTTTCGAAACAATCCCTCTAACATTCGTTTATGTGTTATCAAATGCCGGCTCCACCGGCATCAGCATCCAGTCTTCAGCTAGCTAACAAAATAAAGAATCGAAATCAAGCGAACCCTCTAGCCTGCTGCAATCACTGCTCGAAGTGATAAACAAGACAAATAACGAAAATCAGACGTTCATGTTTCACAACTTGGCCCAACTCGAGAGAGAATCGGACAGAAGCCTCTCAAATATCCGGCGGTCAACTGCCTGAGAACACGCTCTACGATGGCTGCATCTGTCCCGAAGTGTGCTGGAGCTCAAAAGTAACTTTGTCAGGGTTGAAGCACGACGAAAGTTTCGGCAAAACCGCGTCTGTGGTTTCCAGCCGCTCCCCAGACTGCTATAAAGGAAACTTGTGCTGACACAGCCGGCCCCCGTGCGACCAGCTCGATAAGATTCGGCGGTGGCTGACCGGGCTGGTCACTGGAACCGCGGCTGAGGTCCGCAGCTTCTTCTGACGTCTACTCTCACAGCCGAGGTCTCTCTCTCTCTCTCTCTCTCTCTCTCTCTCTCTCTCTCTCTCTCTCTCTCTCTCTCTCTCTCTCTCTCTCTCTCTCTCTCTCTCTCTCTCTCTCTCTCTCTCTCTCTCTCTCTCTCTCTCTCTCTCTCTCTATCTCTCTCTCTCTCTCTCTCTCTCTCTCTCTCTCTCTCTCTCTCTCTCTCTCTCTCTCTCTCTCTCTCTCTCTCTCTCTCTCTCTCTCTCTCTCTCTCCCCGTAATTTTTATCGCTATTTTTTCTGTTGTATTTTTGTCCCGCCCGTCTCAGTCGCTACGAATCTCAGATCTCATTGGCTGATTTACTGACCTTGCCGCGGCTGTCGGTTCTTCTGATTGGTTGCTCGCTGGCGGTCTGCTCGCGCCGGGCCGGCCTGCTCCCCTGCACCGGAGATGACGTGAGCCCCTGCCAAAGGACAGATGACCTGGTCAGGATAGCAGTTGCAGACTCCCATTCACGAGTCAGAGCGAACGCGCTATGTCAGTTCGGAGCGCTGCTAACGTAGGAAGCCAGCTGCCGTCCGCTTTGGAGGTCACAGGAACCATTTGCGTTTGATTAATGATAGCATTAATTGAAAGGTGTGGCTGGACTGAATATCGATTCTGTCTACGATTTGAACCAGCACGCATAATGCACCGAAGCCATGCACAAAAGCCGAGCCATGATGACATTCTGACCAAGTAAATTAATAATGATCATGTATCATTTTCTTGATAATCGTGCATACAGCAATGACAATACGCTGGTTAGTATGTAGCTGACATTTCACAGATCACTTCATACAGTTGGACTTGAATATTGCATTTCTTAATCCTTATCATTTGCATTACTCGTCAATAATGTTTTGACGTTATTGCCTTGGGATAAGTACCCACCACCGCTGTTTATGGCCCAACTGCCAAGGCTACTGGTGTAAATCTAGTCCCTACTGGCGTGTCTGCGTCTATTTTTGGGTATTCCGAGTCTACTGCCCGGCCGCACGCATTCCACTTAACCGAACCGCGGCCCGGGTTCCACGCTTGTTTCACAGCAGATAGCTTGTCTGCTGACTCGAGCGGCCAAAGTGACAAAGTCGGTCGCATTCCTCGGTAATGAAACCTTACGACTCACCGACTGTGGAATTTATTTATCGCTCGCCCTACCGACCTGGCTCGTATACGAGTTGGGCCAGGCGTTCCCACGCAATGGCCCGGAGTTGGTGAGTTGTGGACGGACGAGCTCGTCCAGCTGTCCTGGCGTGGGTGTCACCTCGTCGAGTGGCACACACCGGTAATGCGTGGTTTGTGGAAGGGTCCCGGGATCGATACGTGGTGTCACGAGCCCCAGGTGAGTCACCCCCGGGGCTGGTGGGGAGGGGAGGCGGCTTTGTCCACCTGAATGGCGCTCCATCGCACAAAGGTATCAAGGTAAATGGCTGTGATTCACTCAGCAGGCATAACGTCAAAGGTGATACGGATTTGGAGCTAAGTTGTGGCCATCAGTCAAGTAAGGAAGAAGTTCAGTTTTATTCCATTTGACATTATATAGCCATATACAGTTATTTCCTAGTTGTTTAATGGAAAGGGTAAAGGTGACTGACAGCACGAATCTTAAAGGCTGAATGATTTATGAAAAATCCTTTTCAGTAAGTTTGTATCACTGTATCACGCCGCCAGGCTCATCCAGGAACTATCCACATTCCGCCGTCTGGTCTAGTCCGACGTGCGCGGGGTACCGACTAGCCCAGAATGGGCCAGCTGGAATATCCAGACCCGGCACCGGCACCACACGCCACACGTATCTCGTATACACCTCACTGCTTACCGACTCCAATTGCCCGCTCTTCCCTGCGCGGTCGGCGGCCAAAGACAACCAATCAGCTCACAGAGCGACAACGGAAGGCTCCCATCTCGGCGCTTCCATCGGATTGCCAACAAACGGAGCGGTGTCAATGCCTCCCCGAGGTCACCTCGTCGTGAAATGGGTGAACGTTGGTGTGCGCCTATATGGTGTCTCCTGTTACCCGACGTATGCCGGCCGGTCTGGCGGGGGTCAGGGAGTCCAGAGGTTCCCTGGAACCGGGCTCATTTCAGGCTGCAAACCATCCCGAACGGAGAGCGAGGTGTGGCAAATGGCGCCGTCAGGGGTGCTAAATGTTCGCTCAGTGGAATTTTCCGACTTTAATTCCGAAGCCGACTGACGACAGGCCCCTGGAACTAATCTCACGACGGAAATTTGTTCAGGCTGTTAATAAGGGATCTTCTAATCTTGTTATTTTAGCTACGATCCACCGCGTATCTTTGTGTAAACTACTTACCTAGTGCACCCTCCGCAAACCTCTACCGTTTAGATACCATACGCAACATGTCTTTCGTAAGAACATACAGAATCTTTAGTCTACTCCTACTAGAGTCTACTACATTTGTTTTCAAGCCTGTCTTATTGAGCTAACAAATTCCCACCGTTCTGTAACTCCATAGCATCTAGCTATCGAATAACAGCTGGCTGTGGCATCTCTATTTTTCATGAATGCATATCCAATCCTAAATCTGCATGCACCGAAGTACGTTCACTACAGGTTACTTACCGGCGTTGATTGTGCCGTCTGCGCCGGAATATGCAGCAGTGGCGAGACGGCGAATGTGACACGTTTCTTGGACGAGACGCTGCTGGCTCCGGAGCGGAGGGAAGACTTACTGAGGCGGCTCGCCTGGCTGTCGGCTGACACAACTGCGTAGAAAACATAATAGAGAGTCAGACTGAATTGGTGGTACACTGCACATGCAGCTGACAAGTTTACATGGATACCTTACATGGGTATTTAATCGGATCGCTTCAGATACATTGGACTATCCCGCAGAAAATCACTCCAAGAAGCCGACACAGTTGGAAGGACAAGCCTCCATGCCTTTCTACATGCCTAGACACGCAAATAGTCTCTGCCACCAACATTTTGCACTTACAGCCCCTCAGCTCAGATACAGTCCTATATTTAGCGCTTTATTTGCTGACAATGACCGCTCCTGTCCCTGCGGCTGATGTAGCTGGTCGGCAGCGCGGGTCACTGGCCATCAGCGCCTGCCGTCCGTTCCGTCAGCTCTCTGAAGCTGCTGACAGGCCCACAATAGCCGCCCCGGACAGGCCCCGCTGAATGGAGACAGAAAGTCCCGCACAGAGCACAGATATATCGCCGCACTCAATGAGGGAATCCTCGGAGAGGGGTTCTATATGTAACCGGTGGGATGCCCGGGGATGTGGAAATAGACGGGCTATACCCGTCTCAGAGTGAAGTTAAAGGATGTTGGGAGTTCCGGTCTTAGAAAGGACGTGATAATGCCGAGGGATATTGCGCCGCTGTCAGCCGTGGAGGGCTAAATGAGGTAGTGACCTTTTCGTGGATTGAAATATCTTAGACATTAATGTTTTTGCCAAAAACTTCTTATAACTATCGAAAAGTAGCAAAAGAAGCACCTCACTTTGGGCGTGGAAAAGTAGTTAAGAGGTCTAGGTTTGAGATGAAACTCGTTAGGCATATTTGAGCGAAGTCTGCTGTCCTTACCTGAACAGCCTGATGAGACCGAGTAGAGCGAGGACGACGACGGCAGGTCCCAGTCGGGCGATGACGTCACGGATGACGTCATGGAGTACTGGGAGACGGAGAGCGGCAGACGCATGGCGTATGAGCAATTGAAGGTTTGTTTCAGCCGAATCACGCGCTCACGACACAGCACACACCTGAAAACAGGATATCACAGTCCGTGGATATCGAAAAAAGATGTAACGCAAACATAGACAAACCTTCATACCGGTGACCAAAGATGGTTGACCAGACACAATTTCGCATGACATCCGCTCCAATTACCCGTATTACAGATTCTTTACCGTGCATGACCTTCAGTTATTGCAAATTTCACAAATGTAATATTAAAAGAGATTTGTGGAGTTGAGCCTGATAAATTGCTGTCCCCGCAATCCAATCCTTTCGAAACGGCTGCTCTGGTTGGGTATCCCTGCCGTTGCGCCGGTCACAGCCGAGTTTATGGCCGTCATCAGTCATCAGAGGCGACAGGAGCGCCTTGTCTCTGCCCCGGGCCGTCACCATGGCAACCAGAAGCTGCCACTCTCCATTGTGACGTCACCGCCACTAGAGCGCCGCGTAATTAATTAGGTAGATGTAATTGGACCATGATTAAATGCGGCTGTGCGGTGTACTGTGACAGATGGTGGTCAGATGGGAGAGGCGTGCCACCCCTCAGAGTGAGAGCCGGAACACGGGTGCACTGTCACGGGGACTCGACGGCTCGTGAGCGGAGCACGGAGCTCGGTGACATTGTGATGTCGGGTGGAACATGCGAGGGCTGCAGAGTGAATGATCAATCACCTGGGTGGATAGTTTTCTCGCGTGTAAAGGGGAAAGGTTAAGTATGCGAGTTATTAGAAATAAATACGTCTGAATATTTGTTTCTGGATTTGAAATTACCCCTATCCAAGAAATTATCAGATTTGTTCAATTCAGTCCAATTCAAACCAATCCATCAGTTTAATTCAGTTCATCCAATTTCTTTCATTCAAATCATGCCAACAAATTTGATAATTTCTTGGATAAAGGAACAACTGCTCGATAAACATCACCTTCAGACTGAGTGAATGGCCGCTTGCCTGAATTACCGACGACTGCCCACCTGCATGATAAGTCCTCGGACTGACCTGAGCGGCAGCGCCCGCTGTGCCACCGTCATCTGGATGGTCTTGATGAAGCACTTGCGGCAGACGACGCAGTGTCCGCAGGGGAAGGTCTGCATAGTCGCCTTGGAGCTGATGCACACAACACACTGGAGAGAGAGCGGGATGAGTGTAAAAGAGAGTGAAAGAGCACAACAAATAGATGGAGAAGTCGCCTGTCGGCTACTTTAGGATTCAACAACAAGACAAGAAAAGCAAGATACAAAAGATGTAAAGTATACATGTAGGTAAAGCGATGAGTGATGACAAGGACAGGGATATGTGTACTGCGATTTGAGAACAAAATAGCAGCATTTTGCTGAGTATTACCAAATGAAATACGAGTTCAGTTGCGACCAAAACGGCTCAACTCTTTCCGCCGCACCGCGCTGTACACTATTCGTGGTGGTGTTATGCGGCACAGCCTATCTTCAGGCGCGCACTGACCCTGCCATCTAGCGGTAGCTACGCAACCTACAGCGTTCCGTCCTAGCGTTCGCGTTGACAACATAGGCGGTTGTCTTCGGTGTCATTACTTCCAATTCGATTTATTTCTCACAGAGCAATAATGTATGCTGTAGCGTCAGAATTATAACGGAGTATAACGGTTCATCCAACCCGATAAAAATAATTAATCCAACCCGATAACTCATTGTGTTCAATTTTGTCACTTCGTTCATCACTCACATGTTTCCTACAGGCAGTCTCGTCTTCTTCATCACCATCTTTCCAACAACGGCCATTCAGTATCTCTGACATGCCATCAGAGGCCACCATAGATAGCTCTCCCCTGTCCGGAGGCTAACGAAAGGGGACAGGCCGTCGCTCACACTGGGTGCCTCCCGTTGCTGGGGTACCACCCCTCTCTCGCTACAGCGTCGATGCCCAGCGTCGCCAGCGTCGTGCCGTGTCGGCCACGCCTCCTCCTGCCCCGGGGGGTGCGACGGCGTCGACGGGCCCCCACCGGATATCCATATCCGCCGGGGAAGACCGATCCATCGACGCTCGCTACCGGCTCCGGGGAGGTGTCCGGGGGCGGTGACAGGACACGGGGACGTAATCCGCGGTGCTCGCGGCTGCGGGACTTAGTGGGTGCTCGTCGCCGAATATTCTGTGCGGGTGATGTGGGCGAGTTCAATTGAGCGAGTTGAGTACGAGATAAAACGTATACGGATGTTATGAAATTGAGCAGTTTACATATTTTAAAATAATCCTTCTGGTATTTGACTTGGTTTCGATAGACGTAACATATGTAGTTTCACAGTTTAAATATACAAACAATTTTGGCATTTAATTGAAAAAATGCATATAGTTTTTAAACATAAAAAATGACCCTTAGAATATCTATGATAAATTGCATCCGCCCAGCACTGTCCTAATACCATATACTATGCACAGCTATACCAAGTTATAATAATGCTCCCAATGGATTTTTTGAACCCAGAAGAAATGAAACCTGCCTTATGTGTTGCATCAGATGCCAATTTTCTGGAAAGTAACCGTTATTATTTACGACATGAGCTTCACGAACACCTGCCCCCCAGTGAGGTAACGAACATTCTACCTCCCGACTCTTTCAAAACCTGCATTTTCGGGTCGGTCCTTGAGCACATCATCATTCTCCTCAGCTTTACGTCCATTTAGGGACACACCGTCACATATTGATGGAATTTTTACTGCCTCATCGCTGTCTATTTCTATGCAAATGAAACCATTCTGTGTTAAAGTTGCGAGCGACGGCGCCTAGGTTCGGTGGCGCAGTGACCATCCACGATGGAAGATTCGGTGGCTGAAGCGCTGCTCGCCAACCGCTCTTGGACTAGCAATGTGGCGGAACGCTGGCTGAGAATCTAACGGCTGTATCAATCAGAATACATGAATACAGAGTCCGGCTGAGTTTGGCGGACTGTGGGTGCTTGTCACGAGGACGATTGCTTAGTTGCCGTTGCTTTGCGAAATCGGCATACTAAGCATTTTGTTCTACTCTAAAACATTGAACAACGGCATACGCATTACACACTCAAGTGCTTCGCTCCAATATTTGTTACGCTATGCTGTATCAGGAGAGTCTTGTCAAACAAATATAGGATTGATGTGTACGATAAACATACAGGCTCACCTCTTCATCCCTTGACTTGGCCGGCTCCGTTTCCGATTCATCCAGTTTTAATAGCAGTTTATCCTGTCAAACAGAACAATATGTCACGAACATCATAACTATACACCAGCCAACGCCTCGTCTAAACAACATTGGTGGAAATAGCATTTTGACCATTTAGTTTTGCATTTTCTCGTGCCTCCGGTGCTTGTTTACCTTTTGCGTAAAAATAATCTGCTTGCACCCAACGATCAGCAGCGTTGCGACCTGCTTACGTAGCTGAACGCTTCACACTCACTTTTTTGTTTCAGCCACGACTCTCTCCCATTTGGTACCAACTCAGGTTGCACTGCATGGCTGCACTGCATCCCGCAACCCCCAGCGAGCTGTTAATCCTGTGATGTCGTTACGACATTGGTATGCATGGCAGTGAGATCCCCAGATCCCATGGGTGGTCACGGTACGACCTCGTTATACGCTCGGATCGTGCGGGTCTCCACCTCAGGGTTATTTTAATTGGATTTTAATTCCACGCTGCAGGGGTGCATAGAAAACATCGCCATTCTACATATGTTCGTAAAAATGAATAGGACCTTAGGTAACTAATATCACGTAAGTGTAAGCGGAGAAAATACAGCTTGTTAATTCAGCACTGTTTATAACAGTTAACAATTCACGCACTTTCTTGTTCGTGTGTCCAATCTCTAAGGCTCAAGTCTTAGGATGGTAAATCATATGTTTCATCCCATCTGTTGAACTCAGCATGTGATAGATGACAGTTCAGTGCCATTCATCATGTCTCAGATGATATAAGACTGCGCGTTGATCTGCAGATGACCTAATTATCTAGCCGCACGACACCAGTTACGTCGAAGGTAGATCCATCTCCCACTTGTGGAAATGTCCTTTCATCTGGCGGGCCTCTGTTCCTCTTCCTGTTCCCAGGGTCCCCGGGCAATTTCAGCGGTCGTCCCTGGAGCCACGTTTACGTTACGATACAATGCTACCGCCCTCGACTTTTTCAAGATACGTTATGTGCGCACATGATAGAATTTAATTTTCTGTTGTTTGCTTTACGTACGCATAGTGTATGCCTCATCTCACTATTACTTATGATTGGTGTATCTACGCGCGATTCAGGCATTTGTGCGAGTTATTACACCCCTATACTTCCACATTACAATGGTAACATTTCTGACAAATATATTCAATAGTATCTCTTTCCAAAGTATATTATACAGTAAATATCTTTCACTTTTCATGGTACAAAATAAATGTGATTTAGCTGTATGAGCCAGTCGAAGTTGGCTTTACATTTCAAATTCCATTGCCATTTGACTGGAGGACAGCTAATGTGAGTTTTTCCGACAGTCTCTGTAGACCACCGTCACATATCGGCTCCCACAGCTATCTACAGATCCTGGAACCACGGGAAACACATAAAGACCATCAGGGTCGCCCTACATAGCGTCGTTACAGCGCTAACAAATGAGGTTATCTTAGTGCTCTCTTCGCGGGGCTCGCTCCTGCATAACGAACAAGAAAGCCGAAAACAACCGATGAAGAACAGGCGAAAGAAAGACATTGCCTCAAAGAAGACACGGAATGTCTGTTTGTAAATTTTAGAGATACGTTAATTAAGCAAATGCATAGTAGCTGCTAGCTACGCTGTTCCCTATAATATGATGAGCCCGCGTCCCGTGGTGGCCACTTCTTTTCCTCTATGGGGCGCGGCACTGCTGATCGTCGGCCATTTTCCGCCGCCGAGGAGAGAAGGCGCTCCGAGCCACCCACAAATCCCGACTCTTATCCGCAACAATCACCATTTGTTGCGACAATCTGCCGGCTGGCCGCCACCGTCGGCAGGGCAGGTTGGAAAAGGGCGCAGGGGTCAGGGGGTAGCTCCAGAACCAGTCTCATGATCAGGGATAATCTCAAGGATGAAATGGTAACGCACAGCTCACAGTAGAAGGTAGACTACAGCGGACAATGTGTGCATCCTGCATGCCGTTGAAGCTCTGGCAAAATGACGCATCAGCAGAGATTTCGGTGGATGTTATCTCTTGCTGGAGCCTTCTGCCGTGACCAGATTCGTCTGCTTTTTCCTCATAAATCCAAGCTAGCTTATACGATATTGATCGCTCAGGGATTATGGCTTCGGGCTACATGGAAATTGATGCTATATCTGACCTTTTTTCTTTTTCAACATTTCGGTGCATCTTCACTGATCACTCTTTCGTCATCACAGGCTCCTTTATTGCCGTTGGATGACGTCACGTTCAGATATGACGTCACGTGCCCAATAAACCGCCATCGAACGTCAGAAGTACTAAGCTTGGAGACGCTTTGGATCATCAAACGGATGATCACACAGCTGACCTAACATGATGAAACGGTTGACTCAACAGAAACTCGACTCGTATGAGGTTACGCCCTACTTCAGAGTACCAACGACTTTGATCTTGGACAAACTAGCTAGAGTGCCAAGCCTGATGTCAGCTGAAATCTTCCTTGTGCGTTCCAATTAGCGTATCACTGGCGTTTTCATTATAAATGCATCTAATTTGTTCCAAAGTATCCTTAATGCGTTTGAACGAATGCCGCTTGCCATCGCCTATCCATCACGTCCTTTTTCGTTGCCGCGGGCCCATCTCCATGTTTTCCGTCATCCGCCTACGGCGTCAGCCCAAACGATACCCGTAGCGTCGCTCCGTTCTGCGCTGCTTCGGAACAAAAAAACCTCTGACAATCACCCCCAGTAACGGCGGCGGCGGAGGCTGCGCCGGTGGCGGCGGAGCGGGCGGATCCAGCCGTCGTTTTATCGCATCACTCAGTCTGATGAACCGCCTGTCGGCGCCGCCGCCGCCGCCGCCGCCGCCGCTCCGTCGGCCCTGGATGGTCCTTCCAGCCGGCTGGGCCGAATACTGCAATTTTCGCCTCGTAGTGAGAGGAGCGGCCGCTGCCTTGATTGCACTCAGCCGGGGCGAGCAAAGGCCGAAATATGAGCAGCCAGAGTCTGCCGCACTCTGCTCAGAATAAATATATGTAAGTTGAGCTTAGTTTCTGAAATGACGGCAAAGCTGCTGATGAGCGATTCGTTACAGAGACGGCTGATTAAAATGTCAAGAAATATTTGGTAACATAGAGAATTAAAGGGGGGCAAAAAAATACCCCCCCCCCCCCACCGCCTGGAAGGTTAATTAATGTTCAAACGTTTGCTATCAAGCACATGCAATACGACAACCAAGCTTTGTCAACTGGAAGAATTTTTGAAATAAAACTAGCTCCGAAACACCGAAAAAGGCTTGCATAGGCTCTCTGCCTATGAATGCTGTACATTTCGTAGTCCCGCAGTGCGACAGATATATTTTAATCCGTTGACAGCTTGACGGTGACCTCTGAATGACATCGGAAAGTTTCCTCCGTGATCTCCGGTTGAACGGACGTTTCTCTGAACACGTGGGGAGGAGTGAGCCGCCATTTCACCTCCGACCCTCGATTAGCGCCGGACGAGTTTGATAATTGGACTAATATAAGGTCATGTCGTCACTTCGGATGCAAGGCGGCGACTTCAGAGTCCGGGAAGTGATGGTCGGAGCCTCGTTATAGCAGCTGCGCCCTGAACAAAGTTGGAGACTGGATCAATACTTGAGATCGCCATTTCTTGAAATCATCATTTAGGCTACAGTAAGCAGTTGGGCATTTGCACAATATACTGTCGGTGCCCTCATGCAAATTATTCAAAGCATGAGTGACGTGGGAACATGAAGAAAAGTAATTATCAAATCAACACAGGTTATTATTCATCTCTCCAAATCCACCAAGTATGTGGAAATGTGTCCAGTGTAGATCAGTGGTAGTGACGCATCACTTGATCAACATAAAACGTACGAAATGCCTGCGAAACCGAATGAACCGGAAGACCCGAGCGCTCCCAAAGCTGATTTCCTCGTTCCCAAACGAGTCATCTGCGAGTGACATTTGATCTTATCACCTGGCATTCATCTGACGACAGCACCGAGGCTTATCTCTGACCCAGAGTGGGTGTGAATCGTTACCGTCTCGATCCACTATCGGACCCATAATTGAAAGTCTTATTAGATTACCTCTTGGTGGCAATTTGCCAGCTTTTTAGCGGGCGTGGCAGACGGAATAAGACGCTATAAATATGCACGCATACCATTGCTTTCAGCTTTGGTCATGTGGATTTACGACATTATGAGTGGTTCTTCTATGTTCGTATATTATCCCGCGCCCAGATGGGGTCTGCCGAGCAACGCGGTCTGATGGGGGGGGGGGCATTTTGGCCCCCCCTCAGATCTCGAGAACCACGCAACATAGCGACAAGCGGTAAACGGTGTTGGATAGCCCCAACGGGGAACTACCTTGTGACCCAATTTCATTGACCTCGGTCAAACCGATGACGTCACAGGTCAGGTCAAAGGTCGAATTTTCACCGTTTACAGGCATTTCAAGAAATGCGTTGTACAATCGTGTAAAATGCATTTCATTGAAAATCATCGATGGGGAAATGTTCTTCAAACACATATTTTGCTATTTGAGGTCACTGATACCAGGTCAGGTCACAGAGGTCAGGTCACTGGGGGGTCACAATATGAAAGTGTCGTGTGATACATGTTTTATGGTCCATTTTATATGACAAATGCGATTATGTGGATCAGACAGACTTTAGGGCCAGCTTAGGTCACGTTTTGGTCAAAGTCAGGTCAAGGTCAGGTCAAGGTCAGGTCAAGGTCAGGTCAAGGTCAGGTCAAATTAGGTCAAATTTCAAAGTTGATATTTTTGCATAAAATGGGTATCGATTCGATGCAGCTCGTCACGGGGAGTTCAATGGTGGTCTCCGTTTTGCGCTACGAGGTCTAGAGTTCAAAAATTTGACGTCATCAATTTTTAACAGTTTTTTCGCTATAACTTGCCCAAAAAAAGAGGTATCGATCTAAAATTTGGTATGTATATCGAAGAGTGCAGGGGCTATCACATATATTCCGGTTTTTTTCGAAATTCGAAAAACTTTTGGAAATTTTTTGAGTTTTTCTAAAAAAAATCAATTTTTTTTATTTTTGGGGGTCAAAATCCCAAAATTTCGAAAATCCGAGATAGCAGTTTTGTAGCGCCGTCTTTTCTCTACACAACCACATAAAGAACTTTAAAATTGCTTGTTAACTGTAGAATTGGTGAGCGTTTCAAGATGTCATGTTTTTTGCTCATTTTTACTCGAATATGACCTCAGTTTGACCTTAATAACTCCTGACCTGAGGTGACCTGTGACTTGAAATTTTGTGTGAAGGTTGTCAAATTGATGCCCGGTAAGGTACCCAAAATTTGGCGGCGCTGCGCGCCGCCGTTTTCTCGCTATTTAAGAAAAACCACAGGGGGGGGGGGGCAAAATGGCCCCCCCATCAGGGCGCGGGTTATAACAGCACACGTCGTAAATGACTAGGCCAGATGCCAAGCGTAAATTGTATCCCGTTACGCCCATAGTAATTTGCTACTCCGCTTCAACTACAATCCCAGTGATGGAATTCCTGTAAACTGCGTAACTATAATGTAATGCATTCCCGGCGTCTCATTTCGATGTTGCGGCTTGTCACGTGATTCCCGATAGTTGGTAGAGCCCGCACCGGATGGGCAGCACGGAACATCGGGCATCAAGCGCTGACTGCACGCCACGTGACCTCGAAACCTTGCTGTAGTTCGCGGGTCCGATATCTGTAGATAACGTTCATGGAGCGTCTTGCTGCTGGCGGCCACCGAGCTTAGGATTGTTTTTCATGTTTTATGTTGTTTTATTGTAATGCAGCAGAGGAAGTTGTTTCTACTTGCTATCAAATATTGAAATGAGTGACAATAATTGACAATCATCACAACATCTTCCGCTTAGTGAGAGCAAACATTCATTTTTTCATTTTTTGGATATTGATTTTATCGTGCGCATTAAAAGAACTTCGGCGAACGATGCGCATCAGTCAGTGTTGTAGTATTCTGGTATGATGCTGACGCACAATGCCAGGAACGTAACTACACCTTTTTGCACTCAAAATAGGCATCTTTTCATTCAATTTCGGCGGAATAGAGAGATCGCTGAAATTGAATGCAATTCGCCGAAATTGAATGAAAAGATGCCTATTTTGAGTGCAAAAAGGTGTATTAGCTCGCATCAGCGGCACGGATAAGTGAATTTCGTCAGGTGAAGCCCGGAATAGACCATACGTTACTTTTTCCTTGGGTTCGGCGAAGCGGTCGTGAAGTACCTATTTTAAAGCTTCTGAAATCGCGTTGGTCTGATATCTCGACGAAAAAGAAGGCACTGGGAAGGTACTTCCTTGCAGATGCAGACTACACGCGGCAATCGTAGGAAGTAACGTGACTGCATTCTGCACTAACATGCCATCTCGGTCGATAAATTCCAACTACAATATGCATTACAGGCCGCATGACTTTGACTTTGTGACTTTGTGACATTGCTGTTGCCGTCCTGCATGACTCACGTGACATATCAGCTGTCGATGTTGGGTGTTGCAAAACGTGCAAGAGGAAATTCCCTGATATGTAAAAACCTGACGCATAGACAGAACGTAGGCAAGAAAGGTTAAAAGGTAATTGCGATTAGCGATTGGATTATCGCTTCTGAAAGGGTCTGCACTTGCAGCGTTCATTTTTTATATTCAATTAAGATTCTACTAAGATTCAAAATATGAATCATCTTTGAAAGGGACGTTTGATTTTCATGAAACTCTCTCCACACTGCCCCCTCCCGTCCCCTTCCCCATTCCATTCGACACACCGATATCCCACGAGCGTTGTGGTAGGTACGATGGGGGGAGGACAGATGCCATGGGGAGGCACGGACTACCACGACCCACATCCAGGAGGTGACAGAGCCGTCAGCTGTTGCCACCCGATCATCCGGCTAATGGGGGATCTACCCGACCAATGCGAATCACAGCCAGTAGACGGTCGGGCGCTATTGCTCGAATCATCTCTCCGGCCGACCACGGGCGCGATGGCACCGCGGCAATTACCAACGACAAGGCTCGTCAGGCGGTTACTAATGACGTGTCGGCTGGAGGAGCGCATGGTTTGAGTTTTTGCTGCAGGCAGAATGCTAACGGGCTAGCCAAGCTAACAGAGATGATGAATGCAAATTTAGTTGGGAGTGGAACTGAATACGGGCTAAATTATCGCTTTCAAGACATGTGAATGGTTTGGAAATATCGACATTATCGACGAGCCTCATGCCTAAAACCCAAATTGGCAAGGCAGGAGAAGAAGCTTCTCGTTTTCCACCAACCCCTTAGTAGAAATGGCTCGGTCACGGCCATTTGAAACCTGTATTGATTTATTTTCAATTATTTTCAAGGTTATAGTCTCGCATATCGGCCACGATGGTGGGCTGAGTTAGGCTCGTTATCCCTGCCAACCATCGATTGAGCTGGTTAAACAGCGCCGGACGTTTTGCCGAACAAACAATGCTGGTGAAGGCCGGCGGTCTGCGGTGGTTTCTGCTAATGATCACTTGGGCCGCAAACAGTTGTGAAATAGATGTGAGCCAGTGTCGCGCTCAATAGGGTGCTGTTAGATCAATAAGGGTGAACAACGGTCGGCAATTGGTCTGTCCCAATGTCGGGCGCTAACATTACCGAAAGGTCAACGAAGCCGCCTCTGTAAATTTGAAGTGGTTCAGCTTCTAAGGCCATTCTCTGTGTGATTTGATTTGTATTGTGAGTTTGACGTAATGACGCGATATTACGCGAGTTATGTCACTGTAAATAACCACCGCACCCTTATCAGAACACATCATGGGAGGCTTGTAGTGTAATGCTGGCAACATATTTTATCAAGGTTGGGTTCATGGGGCTTCAACTTCAATCGAAGTTTTATCCGAAGATAATAAAACTCTGCCATAATTAACTGCACCTTATTAGGCAGTCTTACGGTAATCCCATCCGACGCATTTCGTGCGCCGGACGAGCTGTGCAGCCGACTACTCACGATTTTATGGTTGAGCTGTTTGAGCTCACGCTCTGTGACGCGTCGTTTGGCAGTCTCCTGCAGCTGGGAGAGCTTGCAGAAGAGGAAGGTGCCCGGCGCAGCCAGGGCGGCCAGCGGGCGCATCAGCGCCGCTCGCCTGCGCGGCATCCTGCGGAGAACGGGAGGGGTTTTAACTGGTTAGAGACCTGCGAGAGGACGATAAAAGGTGGCCAGAGGTCTGTGAGGTTGATAGAGGTGGTCGGGTACCCGTAGGATGATATGGGACATGGATGGGAAAGACCTGAAGGGAGGACAACTGGACCTGGTCAGAGACTATGAGAGGACAGTGGGTGATCGGTGAGCACGACAAATGCGGTCAGAGACCTGCGAGGACGATAGAAATACATACCTTTCTTAGAAAGGATAGGGGCTGGTCAGAGTGATCTGTCAGAGGACGACGAGGAGGTGGTCAAATGCCTGTGAGGACAATACGGGATGGTCAGAGAGATCTGTGAGGGTGACAGGCCTTACATAGAGAAAGTGGGAATGTAGAAACAGCAAACAGCGAAGACAAGGAACTCTACTTCATTGCTGGTAACTGCGGGCGTACCGCTCGCAATACATACATTTCATATACCAATATGTTTCGGATAACCAGATCATTGTATAACAATGTTCAGGGAGCAGTCACATTTATCACTTTTGGCATCAGTCATAACTAAAAAGGACGAGAACTTGGTGCTTGTTCTTCGTATGATATACGGGCTTTTCTTTCATTTCTCTGGCGGTTTCGAGGAAGAGCTGCTCTCCACCGAGGTGGTTCCGTGGCGGTCTCGAGCCTCATCTGAAGTAATGGCGGCGATGTTCGCCATCCCAGCCTTGTGTGATTATTTTCCGCAGCAACAAATCACTTTGCGAAGCTTAATGGTCACCATGAATCTTCCGGGTGTCATTAATCGTGAACTTTATGTGTCTAAATGTCACTGTAAAAGTGGACCATGAATATTCTCTGTCCCGTGGGGGTAAGCGCTCCCATCAGAACAAGAGCAACGCCTCATCTCTGTGAGGAGGCGTTGTTTAACGTGAATGCCAAATCCTCAGGTACCCGTGTCAAGTGTTGTAGTTGCATCATGCTAATTGTGATAAGCAGCTTTCATGGCAAATTTGGCCACGTCACCCGTCTTGAAATGCAGCTATCTATGCCGACATTGTTGGTGACAAATACTGAGTTATCCAGATTTATCAAAAATTTGCCAAAGGCGTAATTTAACATCATAAAGTGTGCGTGATTTGTACTGCCATGCTGTATTCGTAAATATCACCATTCCTGCTTTTCTCTATAATCGATCGCACAATGGATGCCGCCGGTCCTTCCCGTCCGATGTCGGGGTGATTACGTAGCCCGTTGTGGACGCCGCGCCGCGCCGGAAGCGCGTGCCGACGCTGCCAATGCCTCTCGTGAACAGGAGCACACGCACGTGGACGTTATTAGACCGCGGCCTGATAGATGAACGCCTATTGGGATACCACGACGCTCCGAGTAGGGAATCGACCACACGTAGTTGTATACAAACATGCCAGTAGGTACGGATATTTATCATAATAATAAATAAAAAATAAGTCAAAATAAGTCAATTTTCGGAGCAAAAATTATTAATGGTGTTCTCACATTATCCTTGTTCAGAAGGCTTTATACTTTACTTCACTTTACTTTACTTTATGGACTTAAAGCCCGTTGAAAGTGGTCTGTGAGTTGTTTATTACAGGCCGACTGATGAAAGCAAGGGAGGGACACCCCATAGATTATCTGAGGTTTAGCAAGGATTATTTATATATAACCCACAAATTTGATTTTTTTCCATGGAAATGTAATGTTTACGGCTGATGAAATTTCTTTGCGAATATAAGTTTTTATTTGGGAAAGTCAAACACATTTGCGTGCTATTCTCGATCTCAATCGTCCTCAGCTGCAGCACATGAGAAGAGATGTCATAACGCATTCACTGATGACGCTCCCGCTTTCTTCCCGTTTATCCAGCTATCCAAAAAGCAGTTTCTAATCCTTTACTTGCTAAAGGAAATCCCACAAAACCAACGATCGGTCCACCAGGCATTTCCTGTTGTCATCAAGCAGAATGATCGTGTGTTTTTGCGAAGCCTGTATCGAACACATTGATTGGGTCTAAAGTTAGCTCAGAGCCCAAGACATTAGGGAATCGTCAATGAGGGGAGACCGATGCAGGATCTAGTCAGTGTGGCCTAGCGGATAAACAGGAAGATGAGTTCGGCTCAGTTTCAGGGTTTGCGGGACGTTCAATTACCCGACGTTGTCGTTTCCGTAGAAAAGTGTGTGAAGTTCGTGTGCAGCTCTGCACCGGTAAAAGCTAATGATCCTCTTTCCCCATCGAAACATCGACGCGGAGTTTGATTACGTGTCAATGAAATTGATATTTGAAGGAGAGAAATATACGAAGCTACCGTACGTAACATAAAATAATTATTTGGCTTGGGCGTTTCTTTGACTTGAACTGCGATGTGTGATAAGGAGCAGAGCAGATGACTAGGCTGTATGGTTGACGTGTAGACCAGTGCTTTGCCTAAAAAGCCATTGCCACTGACAAGCTGACGTCATCTCTCTTAAAAGCATGCCACTAGCCATTTTAGTTAAGAAGCAGTGAAGGGCGATGGAAACGACTACTTCAAACCACTCGCCTGATTTGTAAACCGAGCTAAAGTTTGCTCTAGTCTCATTGCACCACAACAAACCGTCGCTTCACTGATACCAGAGAACAATCGGGATTGAAAGTCATTTGTAGCTGCTGCAATGCTTTTGGTTTGGCCATTTATCGCCCTTAGATATGGCACGTCTTTCTAACATTCTTGAGTGGAATATTTGGTGGATTTCGGTTGGAACGGACCTTGCCACCCTACGTGAAAATAATGACGAAAATATTCATTTGACTTGCAAGAGTACATACAGGGTTGTTTCGGACTTTGTGAAAATGCCGTGATGATATGTTTTGCTTGTCCTTTCATGACATTAAGAATTGGAAAGCAACAGACAGCGGAATTTCTCATATCGGAGCTAAAAGATTACATCTGTGTCCTGCCCATCAGTTTTTTTTAGCTCTGATATCGTTGCTCCTTTGTACCAATTCCCTTCAAAACTTAACTTCCCCCACCACAGCACTAGCGCCCTGCACGACTGGAGCTCACCTGAATCCGTCAGAGGTCCATGCTGAGAGCTAGTCCGTGCTGCCTGCGATGACGTCTGAAGAACGATCGCCGACGAGACACCGCTGTCCGTCGGTGCTTCCGCAGCGACACCGTCGACGGTCGCTACTCACCACCCGCCGGGCGGCTCACTGGGCGGGCCGCCCCACACACACGGACACCAAGAGCCGACGCCGACGCCGACGATCGATACTCGGCGCGCGACGGCGACGACGTCACCCTCCCGGGCCGGTCCTCCCGGGCTGGTCCTCCAGCTGGGTCCTCCGCACAGTTTCTCCGCTCGGGTCCTCCGCTCGGGGGTGACTCTGTACTCGAGGATCGTCCTCCACCACCGAGAGTATGTCAGTCTTCCGCCCGAGCTCTCTGCCCGAATGTGCACTGCACGTGAGAGTTGACTTCCGCGGTGGCCCTTTACAAAACCCCTCCTTCGGCTGTCCTCTCTGGGTGGTCCTCCCTTGGACAGGCGTCCTCTCCCGAGTCCTCCTCTCTTGGATGACCCTTCTCTCGAAAGAAGGTGTTTAGCCCAGGATAATTATACACTCTTGATCTTGCACGGAAGTGTTCCGAGAGATGTTCTTCGTCGGGATGGTTCGTTTGTTGGAGTAAAACTTTCTGTCTTTGGCTACTTTTCCAGGCGTATATCATCTGCCAGAGGTTTCTATTGCAGGAGGAATCACACCTGTCATAGTTTTTGTCGCTTATGATATAGCATAAGGTGAAAAATGATAGCCTGCTGATAATAAGACACATGTCGCCTAATTCCGATTTCCGACACGCTTCTGCGTTATTCGAACACCAAGCGCGTGTGGTTGATGACGTCATCTGATTTGTCTCCTCGGTTGTCGTCAGACACCGAACAAACGGCCAACAATTTACGGCCACGCAACCCTCGGCAAAATCGAGTTAAACGGATGGTCACAGCTTAGTCCTGAACTGCCAACAACGGCTCCCTGAGGCATCACAGAGGGCGCCAACATGGGAACTGAGGAACTTAGAGGAGAAAAGACGAGGACGAGCATCTTCATGCATATAGCGTTTGTCATTGGCTTGGCTTTAAGACCCTTTGGTGAGTAAACTCCAAAGGCTGGCTGTGAAACACGAGTAAATCCTCTGATAGTCTGTTACAAGGCTGTTAGGTACAGCAAACACAAACCTAGCGCCTGCACGGATGTCACTTGTTGAGCCGCCTTGTAGAGCACCGCTAATCGAGAGCTTACCATTGACCCTTCCGCGGCGGGGCGGTCGCTGTGGTCGGCTTCCGGAGTGTATTCCCACGGCCATCATATCGGATTACCGTTAGCTCGGCGGCCGAGCGTGCGACGTCGCTTGTTGCGCTCTGTTTGCCGTATCTGCGCCGCCGCCGCCGCCTCTCGTCACTGCTGCGTCATATTTGCCTCCCGCTGCCGACCTTCATTAGCGCAAATGGTGACAGCTGCGCGATAGACGCCGACGCCGAGTATATCATGCCTCGTTGACATTTGCTGCTTTATGGTGGGCGACAGACACCAAGGGCTACCGACGATTCTTGCAGGGAATGGAGAGGGCAAGACACGTTTTTTGTTTGCTTATGAGACGTGCCGAACAGGACTTACATTTTTTCGGACATTTTCTGGTCTGAGCCGGGTACGTTTAATACGCTTTATGCCCATGACAGTATAGGTAACGTTGTTTTATATGAAGCCGATGGTCGGGTTCACCTCATTCTCCGTTCCACTCACTGTCTTCAGTTACTAAACGGACTAAACGGGGTACTGGTTTCTGTTCAATAAAGGCTTAGGAATATGCTTTTCTTGATATTCCAGTAGACTTTTCTGCACTGGTCAGGCATGTTGAGCTGACAACTCTTGCTGCTGTGTATATGTATCGAAGCTCAATTTCAATTCAGGCACTACTGCCATTATAGGCTCGAATGTTGTTTCCAAAGGAAGAGTCATCCGAGACCGCTGTTAATTATTCATATAGGTTATTGAAGCCAAACCAAAGCCAATCTGAGCTCTATAGTCGATGCTCCGCACAAATTTGCAGACAGATCAATTGGTGCAACATTCATGCTGCAATCTGCCCCTGTTGCAATGACCGCATTTCCATCCAGCCCACGGCCCGTTTATCTCTGACCTTGAGACCGTCCCTCTCTGCTGTCTGCTCTTTCTCTCTCTTTCTCTTTCTCTCTTTCTCTTCTCTCTTTCTCTCTCTCTCTCTCTCTCTCTCTTTTCTCTTTCTCTTTCTCTCTTTCTCTCTCCCCTCTTTCTCTCTCTCTCTCTCTCTCTCTCTCTCTCTCTCTCTCTCTCTCTCTCTCTCTCTCCTCTTTCTCTCGCTCTCTCTCCCCTCTCTCTTTTCTCTGACCTTCGCCCTCTGACGTCTATCCTGGACGGGTGCTAGTTTCTGGCAGCCGGCGCTCGGCGCTCAGCTGGATCTGTTTGTGCCGCGTCCCCTGAGGCGGGTAATCTGACGGACACCCGCCCCCGCCCCCGCCCCCGCCCCCGCCCCCGCCCGGACGGGCGGCTGCCGGCGTCGGTCGCGCGGCGGGCCGCGTGACGGCCACGGACCGGAACTATTTCCGGTCCGGTCTCCCCCTCCCCTCTCACTCCCCTCCCCTCCCCGCTTACCACCGGACCCTGCACGGCCCCCAATGGACTCCATCCCACTCTCCGCCGGCGCCCCTCCCTCCCGATCCTGCCCTTCCTGACGCGACCACGCCGGACCTTGTAACGGGCCCACCTCGTTCTGCTTCCGCCCCACCCACCCCCTCAAAATTCACGCGCACTGAAGGGAAGGAAAGGCAATACGACAACATCACAGGAGGTAACGAAAGCTTAAAGCTCGCTTATGGCGATGATGTGATGCTTAAGAGTACTTTTCTCTGGTCGTATTCGGGATTGGCCTATTTATCAAGACCAAGGCCATCAGTATTTGCATCATAAACTGCAGAAAGATATGCTTACATGGTTGTGTATGCAATAGACCTATATGACGCGTCTTCAGAAAAGCAAACGTGCTGAATTGATATGTTGCGTATGCTAAATAACGTTGGAAATGCAACATCTTATTTCTAACGTTTGCCTCGTGGTGCGTCCCACGCTGCGAGCAGACAAAATACCTTTGTCAAATAAGGATAAAATTTGGGGATAAGGCGAAAAAGTATAAGGCGATTAGGAACTCACGAAACATAACAAAACGAAGTTTTTTCTTCTTGAGGTATTCGCATAAAACATAAGACGCGGAGTCATCAGAATTCGATCAAACCAATATTTCACCTCCTTACAGCATAGGTATGTACCATTGTACCTTGTTAGCAGGGCAATCGATGACTGCGAACAGCGCAGACCTTCCAAGAGGTCCTTTCCGCACCGGTGCAGCAGGCTTTTCACAATGGCGCCCCATCGACAGCTCTCTCGGTTAGGCCTAATCCGCAATTAGCGCCCGAACAGGCCTCTGCTCTGAGTCGGGTGACTAGCCCCAGTGAGGCGGAGACACGTGACTGCAAGATGCTCAGAGAATGACTGACCTAGCGATGAGGTCGCGAGCGCTGGCGCGCTGTCCCTAGGGAGCAGTGTGCCACACGGCGCGTCCCCAGCTATCGGACGGTCGCTGCCCGTCCCCAGCCAGCCCGCAGCGTCCGTTGGTATGCAAATACGCTCCAGTCCGCCGCTTGCGGGTCCCACAGCACGATCAGCGTATTGATTGAAAGCTGCCACAAGGTCATAAACTGTGCCATTTTCAGCTCGTCGGCTCTCGTATCTGACGTCATGGGGCAACGCATCAATCCGGTCCTGGGTCGTAGCTCTCCGCGAAAAGCCCTCAAGGGTAGCGTGTAGACTGCTGAGTGGATGAAGAGTTGGGGCTGAGGGGAGGGGGGCTGTGCCGGTGATAGGGTACAGCTGGGGAGGGGAGGGGTGACCCAGCGCGGACGTGCGCCACCTGCCGCGGGATGGGCTCACCTGCCCCCTCCCCTCCCCCACCCCCGGTGATGGGTGTAGCTCGAATGTGGTGCGGGACCGGAATTAACTCCCGCCCTGTTCCATTGTGCCAGTGACGCGCCGTTTGAACGAGCGCTGCCAGTGGCAGCGACACCGGCCGCGGGGGTGTCGTGCTCTGGCCAGCTGCGGTCTCCAGTGTGGACGATTGAGAACCTTCAAGTTCAGGTGGCTTTTGACGAGGTGGTGTGTGATCTTCAGCGGTGATAGGTGAAAGTTAAATACTTGAGGATTTTAGCGCCGGGCCTGCCCGACTGACGTCATTGGACGTGTGTGTAGGACGAAACTTCAGCGCTGGCGTCAAATTTCCACATCGTCATCGGACACCGTGTCATCTAATTGACGCTTGAATTTCAGTGCGAAGATTGAAGACCTCCTCTAATTTCTTACGCTGAGGGCCTCTCGCGCGGCATCATGGTGCAGCTCTCTGGAGCTTACGGTCGGCTTTCAAGAACCGCCGGTTTCGGCGCGAACAAGGCGGCTCTGATTGGGTAATTTGCCGACCCTTCAGTTCACGCCCCACTCCTCTGCCACTGAGAGAGGCGGATCCTGCAGTGCGCTCGAGAAAAAAAAAACCAGTTGGAGTCTCAACAAGAAAACACGTTCCAAGCCTCGACCCAGCGGCTCTGGTTTTAGACTCAGAGAGGGATATATGCGTACAGAATGAAGGACTGCTGAGTGGCGTGGTCGATTTTAGACCGGCGCGGTGGTAGCGTGACGCCCACTGGCCCAGTTCAGACTGTTCGAACGACCGGCCCGGAGGACAGTTGGCAGATTGAGTTGACTGTGTCGTCACATTCAGCGGAGGGGCTACACGACCTGCAACTAAGGCGCGCACAAGGTGAGACGATCTTGTGATCAGACATATATAAGATGAACCGTATTTTACAATGAATGGTCATCATTTACATGCTTGTGTATACCTGCCTACGTTCGGACTAGTAACGTTATTCATTGGTGTTATGATGGAATAGGTATGTGCATTGTGCAATGTGCATTTGTCAAGCAATAATCTGTTTAGTGTAAGCTACTTCTGCCGTTAATGATATAGGAAAGTGACAACATCAAGTCATATAAGAATTGACACCATGGCTAAGCTTTGTATGTGAACTTTGTATTGCTCCCGTGAAAAACATTAATTTCTGCAGTTTATTAATAAAAATATTAATCTCACATTTTAGCGTTCGGTTACCTATTCGGTGGCTCTCCTAAATTCGTATGTTGTTGCACTTTCAAATGACAGTACCTACTGCTCTTTGACGCACAGCACTCCTCTTCTATTCCAAAGATTTCAATTTCCCAGCTTCGTTTCCATCCCCGGCTGTTTTGAACTGATCTCGACCACCCATCCCGCCAGTTCATTCTTCGGTGCGGCCATTTTGCCTATGTGAAACGTATATCATCCCGGGCGTGAAATCCATTCGGCTCTTCTGCCAGTCAGAATATTACTTAGTCGATTGGTGGCCCGGCAGCGGAGACGCTCCAGTAAGCAGCGCAGATTGGCTAATAGCATATTTCAGAAAGGAAAAAAATCAGTGTGCAGCGACCTTTTGGGTCAAGCGGCCTGAAGGCCCAAGAACATAATGTCTATGAACTTGAAGTTAACAAACATTCGCGCTTATGTTAGCACCAAAGGATGCTTACTTAAACTATTACAATTATTATTGATATCCAAATAATTTATCATCACTCTCTATCAAATGCAAAACGTAGGATCCTATATTTCGTCCAAGATCGTTGGAGGCATTCGTTGGAGGCTTATTGAAAGAATGCGTCGTTTTATCTCGCCTGCACCGTCTGTTTACCAATAGTACCCGACCTCCGCGCCAATCCTCCCTCTCGGCCACGCACCCCCCCCCCCCCGCGGTCACATGGACGACGTCTTTGTCACACGGTCTGTCCCACCGCCGTGTTGACGCCGACTGTGACCAATCTGACCATACGGCGGTAATCTCTGTGTGTGCGCGCCCTCTGGAGCACCAATTAGGCCAGCCGGGGGCGGTCGATGGACGACCGCCCGGCCGTCAATCGGGGGTCGACGGCGGCGACGGGCCAGCCCACCGACAGACGACCGTCGGCAGCGACGGGCGACCAACGGTCGATAGCACTTCTGTGACTCACCCGGGCGGCGAGAGAGTTACGAAATGAAGGACAGTCCAGAATGGGCTCGCCGAAATGGTGTGATTGGGGCGTGTGATTTCCATAAGCGTGTCGTCGCTGTTCGTTTTATACGCTGGTGTTGGGAATGTAACTTGTTGGGTTCGTGCTATGGTCTCTTCTTTTGTCGACTTCCGGATGAGGGGTGGATTTCCTACAGATTGTTCTGATTCAAGATGTCACGTAACCAAAAAATTAAGTGGCCCTTAAACATTATAAGCTAAAATCACCTCGTTGGTTATTTCTGTTCAGTTCCATTGTCGCATTGTGTCCTAAATTTGTTCAATGTGAACACAGGCAAAAAAAAAAATCGGTGAATGGCCTGGCACATTTTGTGTCCTATAACTTCAACTATAAGCATTCTTCAGTTCCTGGGAAATAAGTTCACAAACATGGTGCGAAATGCGGATGGCATGTTTAAATGTCTACATAGATGACCTTCGGACGTAAATATGTAGAAATATTTAGACTTCTGACCGCGCTAAAACTTGTCGGAGTCGATACGTAGGTATACCGATGGTCGTATAGGTTCTTTCGTATCTTCCTACGGCAATTTCTTCCCAAGCTCTCGCTATCCAGTCATAGCATATTCATTGCTTTTCATCAAAATTTCACAGCGAGTTTGCCCAAACACTCGCCTCGTGCGGCGCCGAACAGCGCTAGCCGTTTGTCTCGCATTTCGTCGTTTTATCGCCGAATTGAGACTCCTGCTTTGGCGGCGGTGGGGCCGTATCGCACTATTCGCCGCCGAGACGCTGTTTTCCTGTTTTTACTGCTGGCAGCCCGGCCTGACACTCGCGAGACGCGGGAGGAGGACCTTGACAGAGGACACAAAGACACAAACGCAGACAGACATACAGACAGACCGACGACGGGCCGCGCAACGGAATATCGAAATGCGTATGTTGCATTCAGGAGGTGGAGGGTGGATCCTGGTTGGATGAAAACATTTTGGGTCACAAGGTGACTGATGTGCTATGTATGGGGCATTGCTTATCCAGTATGAGCTTTGATGCATCTCCAGATGCACCTTTATGAACAATAGACATGCCGTAGTACCTAACGGAACCGTGATATTGCTACTTGCAGTGCGCGTGACTGAGGCAAACACATCACAATTTGTGACCTAATGCCAACACTCAATATAAGTATAAATAACAGCTTTCAACTAGAGCATCTGGAAGCCAGAGACGGCTCGAAGCTCGACATGTATTTGCCCGCATGAGTAAATGAAATAAACCGTAAAACATCGAACATTTCAATTATCCATTCAAAACACTGACGAAAAGATGGCCCGACGTCTAAATCAGTCTGTTTGAAATTTCATGCTATACTCAATATCGAAATGGGTCAGGTCAGGTCGCACGAATGAAACCAGACTTGCAATGGCGGTGATGCATCCACTAATGTTGGGGATAATTGCATGGACATCGGAGATAAATGCATGAACATCCAGCATTCCTAAACTGTTTACACGAATTATGAAATGTTCTACTGGTCGACATAAAATAACTGTTAACTTTCGAGAAACTGGTAACGGAGTTTTATGCTTCACTTCTCATAATCTGGTAAATCACACTTGATTGAAGCATCTTCAACAAAACAAAGTAATATGGATATCAGTCCTGAATTATTTGTGATGACCTCGAGTGGGTCAGGACGGCGCCAGGCGTTGTTGGAAGGATTTCTTACCGGCCAAACTATCCCAACCGAGTTTCCATTTTTCATGGTGGTCGCAATAGCCAGGACTATAGGCACCTCGGGCTAAACCTGCCGAACATTGCGGATAAAGCCCAGTAGCTCGTTAACGAAGGAGTTAAGGGCCCTGCTCAGTGACACGGAAAAAAACGAGCGTCTGCGCCGTTGCGAGAGGCAGCGACTGGTACCCAATTCTAAGGTCTCAGGTCAACTGGTGACCTCTGAGGTCAGGTCAACTGGCCCTAGGCACGGGTTCGGTTATTGATAAATAACAGACGCGTCGAACGGTATACTTTTTGTTCGGGTGAGGTCATCTTCAGGTGTTGACCTCGGGTCAAGGTCAGGTCAGAGCCCCCTAGGTCACGAAGATAGTCAAAGGAGGTCATGCTGCATATCATTCAGGTCTTTCCGTGTCAATTGGTGGCTGTCTCGAGTCTCGACTCGCTATAGCCCAATTTGATTGGGAGTTATTGACGAGAAAAAACTATTACAACTCTAGTGACGTCATAAATGACGTCACGCAAGGTCAAAAATGCAAAAGTGATGCATCGGACCTTGCAAAGAATGCATGAAATCACGATTCTGTGTACTTAAGATAGTCTGAGATCGTTGGCGGCGCCAAAATAGCATTTTTATTTTTCCCCATTGACGTATAGGTAATGGTGAGGTCACGTGACCGACCTGACCTCATGTGACCTTTAGGAGAAATCCGGGATATACAAGTTGTTAGACCTCTGAAGGATACTAGGTCCTGTAAGTTTCAGCTCCCTGTGAAAGCTCCTCTGGCACTGAGGGCATTGCGAAGATGTTACATCTCAAGACGGTGCAGAAGTTCACTTATGACGTCATAGGTCAGTGACCTAACCTGACCTGAAAATGCGGTTGGTGTCACAGGGTTTGACTTGAATCAACAGTCAGGTATGCAAAGTTTTAGGTCTCTCAGTCTCGCTGGCGTGTTCCGAGCTATCGCGAAAAATAAAAACCCTATGGGGGGGGGGGGGCGGCGGCTTGAGAAACGACGTGGAATCCTATATATGTACGGCCTTGCGTGGAATGAGAAACGACCTCTTGATATAGGTGTGGTTTATTGAAATGTTGTTATTTTTCAGAGAGGTAGGAAGATTGGAAATGTCGCCTTTCTGTTTGAAATTTCAATTAATTTTTTGAAGTTGTCTGCTTCAAGGCTACGTTTCTGCGCAGGTCCGCGTGCATTATAAGTAATATTAACCCTCGCCCGTATTGGTGTTTTTCCAGCCGTGAACGTATAAGGGGGGGGGGGGGGTCCGTTGGACCCCCTCCTTGCCGTTTCGCCCCTGATCGAGCTAGAGCTTCGCGGAAAAAACGAGCGTGTTGCCCGTGACGAGAGGAAGCCGATGATACCCAATTTTAAGGTCCTAGGTCATTGGTTGACCTTGCAGGTCAGGTCAATGACCCCAAAGTCGGGAAAATCGGGACCTGTTAGAACGTCGTAAAGTGTGGCTGCTATGGGGTTTTTCGGGGTGCTGATCACGAATATCATGTTAGTTTTGATCACAGATGATGTCTTCATGCATTTAGGCCAGGTCGGGTCAGGTCAGGTCAGGTCAACCAGTAAGGGTATTCGTAGTAGGTGGCAACCGCCTCTGACAGCTTCGTAACATGTTACGAAGGCACCAAAACTACTTCGTAAGTGTTCATATGGTTGCTAAATTCGAATTCAGCTCCAAAAACTGGCCTAGAAACATGTAAAACTCGAAAAAAGTGAACCGAGGTCATCAAAGGTCAATGACCTGACCTGACCTTCAGGTGACCTTGACACCCACCCTAATGCATGGAGGCAACATCATATCACATGTTTGAACGCTTGAAACCACGAAAAGACTGCAAACGCGCGGCTAATGCGAGCCGACATACGCCGAATCGCGATTCCGGCCAAACATGGTCTCGAAAAGTAGGTCACAGGTCAAAGGTCATTTGGGTCAGGGTCATGAAATTTTCAGGGTAGGTGTAAAATTGATGAACGCGAGGGTACTGAAAGTTTCGTCGCGATCGGCCGCTTTTTACGCGAGTTATTCGCGAAAAACCATGGGGGGGGGGTCCGTTCGACCCCCCCGCCCTATACGGGCGAGGGTTTTAAGGCACTCGTGGATGGAATGGAGCACTCGTGCGGTAATGCACTCGTTTCACTCGTGCATTAACACACTCGTGCTCCAATCCATCCACGTCGTGCGTTAAAACCATTTACACACGGGAAACCATGTGTTAATATATACTAATGATACCAATTTCATGTACTATGCATTTCGTGATTTCAAGCGTTATTCCACACAGGGGTGGACAATTGTGCCGAGTTGGGGTAGCACGAGTCTTCCCAATTCCACGCCGGCAGCGCCGGCTTGGCTTTGGAGCCGCACCAGACGGCGGAGGTCAAGGTCACCGCCAGGGCGGCGGCGGATTGGCTGCGCCCGTGCAACCCCAACTCGGCATATTTCTCCACCCCTGATTCCACATATCTTTTGTTTTCCGTGAATGTCTGCAAAACCCTTCGCCTCTTTGAAGGAAACCTGACTATCACACTCTACACAACACACGGACACCAAGGCTGACCCATGTGACGAATTGGGCACTAATTACGCCTGCTTCAGAGTTTGTTCAGCGATAGCCGGTGGGCCGTAATCATCAATCAATCGAACGGTGTACAATTATAGATAGGTGGCCCTGTCCGGCGTGCCCCAGGGTTCAGTTCGATCCTCCCCTACCGATCGGTGTGCTTTTTGTTAGTGTGGCGCCGGGGCACGTCACACCAGCACGGCACATTGACACTGCCCTGACCCTGGTAGGTAGCAGAGTAAACGGCCCTTGTAACTACTCTTATGATAAGCACTACTTTTCGGTTTTATACATTTGCGACCTTGGAGTTGCAACTACTCAGATGTGTTGCTTCTGACACGATGCTGCTGGCTCCTATTTTTGTCGCAAAGTCAGAACCGTTACTCACGGAAATGTTGCCCCAAAATTAGCATGTATGCTCGCCGGTCTGATTTTTATTTCACTCGTGTCTAGTCACCGCACTGATCGCGCTGGTCACGTCTGATGGAACTGACTGCTGCCCTGCCCAGCCGGGGGCACTGACCCTGATATACGTGACCAGTCGGCAGGTTCGCGCTCCCCCGACCGCCGAGGGCGGGGCCGTCCGCTGTCCCCGCCGCTGACGTAGCACCACTTCCGTCCACAGAGCGGCGTGACACGGACCCGCCCTGTCATGGGAGCACGACACAGCAAGCACCGCAAGTACCCGGTGCCGCCCGGCGGCCTGCACATCAGCGCTCCCTACCCGCCAGGACGCTCCGGGTTCGAGGAGGCGGCCGTCACTAGGAACAATCCCCTCTTCTCGAGTGGAGGAGGAGGAGGAGGAGGTGGGAGAGGGGGAGGCAGCAGGGGCGGTAGTGGAGTGTACCGCACCTACGGTAACCGTCCCAACCCGCCTTCCGAAGAGGAGGAGGACCTGGATCGGGCCCCGTTGAAGCCAGAGGAGCGCCTCCGACGGTCTATCATCCGTAGCCGGCGCGGCCACGGTCACCGCTCAGCACAGCGCGAGGAACGGCGTCCTCGGGAGGACAGGGAGGACTCGGCCGGAGAGCAGCGGTCAGCGCCGCCGTCCGAGCGGTCCTCAGTGCGCTCCTCGTCTCGCTCCTCGCCGCTGAGAGCCAAGGCCAGCGTGCACTCGTTTGAGTTCCCCGGTCCTCCCCCCGGGGACCCGGACGAAGACCTCCGGCAGACGAACCGGGAGGACGAGGACCACGTGACCGTCCTCCGTCAGCCGGAGGAAGAGGAGGCGCCAGTTCCGCGGCCGGCTCCGCGGACCCTGTTCGGAATGATGCCTGACGTCGTAGGTCGTCCAGTGACCTCGCAGGGAAAGGACAACTCAGATGACCGTGCTCCTGGTAAAGTGACTATTGAAGTGGCTTGGAGAGGTGATGAACCACAGACTCGAACCCAGGAGGAAAATCTTGCCGGTGAGGATGACCTTCTCAACAAGACTATCTACCCTGACCAGAGCCCTTTCGGGTCAGAGCGGGGCTCCATCTCCTCTGGGCGTTTGGGTAGCAGTGCAGGAGCTGGTAGCGGGGCCAGCAGAGGCAGCCATAGAGACAACAGCGGAGGCAGCCGAGACACTAACGGAGACATCAGAGGCAGTGCCAGGGACAGAGATGGTGGAGGCAGAAGTGCCCGAGGCAGCGGCGGCCGCTCCCCCGTGCATGGAGGTCTGGATCCGCCCCTGGCCGGACCGGGGCTCTCTGAAGGCAAGCTCACAAATGTGCCTGTCGCTGGTGAGACGGGCTCGGCTACAGGTGGCGGGGGAGGCGGCGGCGGGCCGTCACTGGGCATGAGACGAACCATCCGCTGGGGCGACGACGCCGAGGACCTGCCCGCCCGATTGGAGGGTAAGTGAATCACTTGTCCTCAAAATATTTATTCATTTGTTGGCATTAGATCCACAAGTGTCTATGCATGAATTTACCTCAACTGAAACAGGTTGTAGGTTGAGTGGAACTATTTTTGTTCATTCAATTTCATCAACCCCGAATGCATTTTTTTAAACATGTAATTTAGTGCCATTGCTTGCCATGAAAGCTGGTGCTTACAAGTTACATACGAGTAACTATAATAACAGCCATTATTACTGAAAAAATGTATAGGATCTAATGAACCATTTTCCGTCGATAACATTTCGATACCTATTAAACCCAAGCTATTCATATTCTATTCAGTCTAGCGTTCCCTTATGAGTTTGCACGCTCCTTTCTTTACAAAGCGTGCGCCCACACGTGTGGCGAACTGAACCGTGTCATCTTGGGCCAAACAATCGCTAGTCATGCCCTCATGCGTTCGTGTGAGTGAATGCACAAAAAGTGGAAATCGAGCGTCTGCCAAAAACTGCTACATGCATGCTGTAGGCTCGAAATGAAGCGCTTATTAAACCTTTCAAACGTTATAGAGCCATAATTATAAAGAGCCACCAGTGAGGCTCTGCAAAATATTTATGCATTCACTAACGACCACCGTTCTGCAAACACCTCCCCACAATGTAAGAACATGCTGTCTGTCCCAAAAATGATCCAACAGGTTGTGAAAATCGAGCCTCAAATAATCGCTAAAATGACTTACTTTTAGCAAAAGGAACTGTTGTATATACAAAATAATGTCTGTATTTGTCAGTATAGGCCAATGAACTCCGTCATTCCGATTCATTTTTTTTTTCTATGAAATACTTGCCGTGACGTTGGAAGGCGTCTATCACGACGCCTACGTCAGCCGTCGCGCCAGCGGTCGGCTGGTGCGGCGGCGGCAGCTCTGAGTTAGGGGCTCATTAGTTCACGATTTGGCCGCCGGATGGCGACACTAACGACCGTACCCGAGACAAATGATCGACCCCAGCGAGGGCGATCTGCAGAGGCTGTCAAAATGTTATGTTCGGAGCAGTAATATCTGGCTCGGTCAAAAGGCGCGGGGAGTGATTTAGTTGGTCGTGATCCTGGATATACCCGGGTTTTCAAAGCCGTATATTTTCCTGTGAAATTTTGAAGCATCTAATTGTGCGCCTATATTAACAGCATTCTTCAATAATGGTAGATTTACTACTAAATAAACCTTGTGTTTCAAACGTTTGAATTGTGCCGATAATGCTATAAATAATCATTTCATATCATTTGCTTAATGCTAGCATGATCTGCTATGAAGATCACACAGTTCATGACATCCGATTATATCCCAATTTATCCTATTATATGTATATTCTGTCTTTCGGTTCGTTTCCTTGGGTCCTCCCTGCCGTGTGCTCCTCTCAAACCCACCATTCTGCTCGGAGTTGGTCTGAATTTGTCCCCCGTTTTACAGGTATCGTGGAGACCAGCCGCGACACGCGGAACCACTGCTGGACACGGCAGCACCTCTCCATCCACGGCCACACCCTGGTCACCCCCGACCTGAGGCTGCGCCTTCCGGAGGTCACCATCCGGCCCGCACCCGAGACCAGCCACCGAAACGCTGTCAAAATATGCCGCGGTCACACACCGGAGCTCTTCCTGAAGGTAGGCAATATACTTGCTCTATCCCAAGAATCCAACTAGCCCAGCTGTTTGTAATCCCTCTTGGCTCCTTTATTTCTCCGAGCCGTGCCGAAAATCAGCCGCGAAATTTCACCTCCAGCCCAGACCTTCGAACGCTCCGCTATTTCGTGTGATTGGCTGCGAGTTTTGGGTGATATACCACGCTGAGGCGGCGGCAATGCCGACTTCTGAGCTTTTTCCGACCCGGTTCGCGGCTAAATTTACGACGAACTTCTTTTCTCGAGAGCTGCAATATAACGGGCGTGGAGGAAGACGCAGCGCTCATCGATCCACTCTGAAAATAAAACTCAGCTCGAGGTCAGCGTAAGCTCAGAGCTAGATGTACCATAGGTAAGGGGTTAACGAAGGGCGCAGTTATGACTTAACATACATAAAATATCTGGCAAGGATTGAAATGACAGGATAGTAAAACAGACTCAGACATTTCTGGCAAGGTTGTACGCGGCGCGCCTTCATTTCCAACGCGCCGTAATTCGACACATCAGTTACAGATCAAAACTCAAGTTCAAAAGAACTCGAGTTATTACTTCAGTTACTGCGATATGCTAAGGTGCTTAAACGAAAAGTAAATTGGCGCGATTTGGTATTGTGCTATATAAGATTTCCAGCTGACTAAAACGGTACTCCAGTCTCCAAACCTGTCATGATATGTCAGATGAAGATAAGCGTCACGTCTTTGTGTTTGTATTTTCTTCCAGATTGTGTTTAATTTAGATACCCCTTCAAGATTACTTCTGTCCAGCACAAACGATCATAGCAATTTATTTAGAGCACAGCAGCTCATCTTATAGCGTACGTCAGCAATTTAATCAACAATTCAATGCAATTAACCTATATAAAATGCATGTAAATTACAAGAAAAATGATTATACGAATATAAGCAGATCATTACTGCAGCACGGAACATTTTTATTTTTATTTTATCCAATTCGCATCCGTAAAATAAATACATTTTTCCCGGCGTTAACTGACCACATCAGACAGTTAACCCTATTCCTGGCGGGGGGCCTCAGGAGCCCCCCCCCCCCTGAGGTTTTTTGGTTATTTCTCCCAAACGCGTTGAGCTAGGAAGCTCAAATTTTCTGACTTTTCCTAAAAGGCTTCTACGCAACATGTCTGAAAATTTTGAGCTGATCTGACCTCAGGTCAGGTCACCAGAGGCGGTTTGGTGACCCTACCTCAGAAAAGTTTGCAATCACGCCAGAGCTAGAGTTTTTGACCGATCAATTTCTTCTCTTCAGGCTTTAGTTAGGGTACCAGTATGTGCAATTTGTATATCTCGGAATTTTGATATCGGTGACCTAAGGTCAGGTCAGTTTCGCGACCTCCCCATTATAAGTCAATGGGGGAAAAATCAACTCCCTGTTTTTACCACTAAAACGGGTCGGAATGGCCCCATATACCATACATGACTTCATATACGATCAACCTTCACTACCTTGAGGTCTGTTTTGCTGTTGGGCAGCTGTGAGGTCATGTGACGTCATCAAAGGTCACCAAAGGTTTTTGGCCAATAACTCCGTACAGGAACAAGATACAGACGCGTGGATGGTCTCATTGTGTTCATGAATGATATACATGATGACCTCGAGGTCACGTGACCTGAGGTCAACCTTTGACCTTGACCTTTCGAGGTCAACATATATATCATTCGATGCGGATTGACGAGAGGATCACGATGATGCCCTTAGTTTGTTCCTATCTTGACTAATTCGAAAGTTATTCGAGAAAAACTCTCCATATCTAGTGCCGCCATTTTGACTTTTTCGACCCCTGTGACGTCATCTTTGACCTGACCTGAAAATGACCTTAGTAAAAATTGCAGATCTTGACCGTGCGTATCCGATGCCGTTTACCGTTTGTCGCTGCGATGTGTAGTTTTTGAGATCTGAGGGGGGGGGGGCCGAATCGCCCCCCCCCCCGCCAGTTTCTTGTCCCGGCGGAGCCCGCCAGGAATAGGGTTAAAAGCACAAACACAGTCATCATCAAATGACTCGACACTTTCCACCGATCAGCTCCCCGCTCCGTCCGTCATCGGTCGGTCCTGGGGCTATAGCTGCAGAGCGGGGCGGGTCACCCCGTCACGTCATGGTCTAGCGGGCGTCACCGAGGCGTGACCGTCACCTGTGGGCGTCACTCGGTCCACACCGGCCTTTGTTTGATGAACAGCCGTGAATCGGTGGCAGCTAGACTCCCCGTCGTACAGCGAGCGGAGAGCAGAGATCGGGTTTGGGACTGTACCATATTGCCAGCGATGAAGACAGGGTAGACTCGGTAGATATCACCGGCTAGCTCAGAAATAATGGTTGCGATGTAATCGTGCCTGTTGGCACAACATTGCACTTGTGTTCATTGACATTGCAGTAGATTTTTCCTAATTATCGGCCGGTTGTATGCTGTTTTGTGACTGCGCTTTTGTTTGTGAAGCGCAGCTCTTTTGCCACGCAAATATGCATAATGAATTACCAGCATTATGAACAGAATCTGCATTATTGGCCTGCTCACTATACAGTCAGATGCCGGCATATTTGCTCAGGGGCGCGGGAACTACTTTCCGACTGGGGGGGCACACCATAATAGAGATCAACCTAGGGTAGGGGAGAGTGGGGTAATTTGGCCGGTGGTGTAAATTGGCCGCCCCCACCTGTACGAAAGCTGATAAAAGTGAATGAAATAACTTTAGTCTCTATTCATTTGTCATCGGTAGAACTAACTCGAGAACAAATGTCAAAATTTTCCCCCTCTTAGTTTTATTCAAAATTAATAAAAGGTGAATTTCGTTAAAAAATGGCAACTTTTACTTCCCTTTAAAAATTTGTATAACATGTAGTATTTGGGCTTTAAACGAATTCCAACATTATAGCGCCATTTTTGAGGGTGTTCAACGGTTCCAAGAGCAATTTCATCTAGTTCTGTACAGCCATGACGACTTTATAGACAAAAATTTTCAGAATGGCAATGTGGGGTTATTTGGCCGGGACAAGCGGGGCAACTTGGCCGGTGCGCTCGGAGTCACTATGCTGGGACGGCCGAGTTGTCATGGTCAATTATACCATAAAGGACATAATTCATGACCAACTTTGACTACCTTGATGCCATATTTCCTATTGGACAGCTGTAAGGGCATGTGACGTCATCAAAAGTTACCTAACGCTTTTTTGCTAATAAATACTTACATAAAAAAACATACAGCCGCGCAAATGGTCTCATTGTGTTCAGCTCGTCAAGGCGCATCGAATAATATACATGATGACCTTAAACTCACGTAACCTTGAGGTCAAGCGACCTGAGGTAGCGTGACCTGAAGCCAACCTTTGACCTTGACCTCTCGAGGTCAACACATACATGTTTCGATGCGGAATGACGAGAGAATTACGATGGTACTTTTAGTTTTGACCTAGCTTGATTACTTCAAAAGCTATTCGTAAAAAGCTGTCATCGCATCTAAAGCCGCTATTTTGACTATTTTCGACTACTGTGACGGCTGAGTCAACCTCCAAAATGCTTCAAATGCGTCGTAGGACACACGTCATTGCTGAAAACGAAGCTGACTCGCCTATAACAAAAATCATGGCCTCCAACTAACACCGGCCAAATTGCCCCACACCCCCGGCCAAATAACCCTGCTAGTGGGGCAATTTGGCCGCTTTGCAGACCTTTGTAATACGTCACAATTTCAATATAAATAGTTAATCTATCATTTCAAGTTTACTGTCAAAGAAAGTAAAATGTATGCCACACCTGTCAGCGTTGAGAAAATGCAGAAATGTGTGGTCGATTTTTAGTTACATCGTTTTCTAAAAAAAGCGGCCAAATTACCCCACTCTCCCCTACCCCCAAATCTAGTTTTCTCACCGGTTTTAGGCCACTTATTTTTCACCCCTCGGCTTTTTCAACAAAAAAAGAATACATTTGCAAAAAAGTGTGGTATTCCGTCTCAAAGCTGTGGGGGCACCGCCCCCACGGCCCCAGAGTTGGGGGGGGGGGGCAAGCTGCCCCCACTGCCCCCCGGCTCCCGCGCCTATGTATTTGCTTTGTAAATTGTAACAGCTTACAAACCATATACAAAAGCGTTCCACATCAAAAGACAATACTGATACGTGGTCTATCTTCAAGTTCTATAGAATGGTTGATAAGTAAAGGGTCAGTTCCTCTGGCTGGCAATCAATACTCAAACATTGTTGACCTCCAAGGCTGCGAGATAGCAGCTGTTGAACAAACAAACCACTTGTACAATTCTTACGGCCGAGCTGGTTATAAATCCGACTTTACAGGAGGGCGTATTTGAACTGGTCCTCGACTGTTATCTGCTTCATGTCAGACAGACAGCTGATTGTGAGCGGAGGCGTTTGATCACGTGACAATCTGTGGCGTGTGACGGTCGACGATCTGTGATATGATTGTGGTTGGTGGCGATTGATCACGTGACGATCTTTGATGTGTGACGGTTGGCGTTTGTGAGAGAGTGACGGTGACTCGATCGGTGACAAGTCACGCGTCGGGTGAGCGACGGTGAAGGTGGAAGGCGCAGTGACCGAGAGTTGAGTGAGAGTTGTGTGAGCTGTGAGCTTTGGCGGACAAAGTGGCGCGTGAGCTTCTGGTTAGCTTAAATTGAAAAGCGGAAGCTCGTGATTGAAACTAGCCGGCTGGCAAGTGGAAACGCTGAGCGTTTTACAATGCTGAATTTACTGAACAACTTTACTCTGATATTTTCCGAGCCGCGAAATCCGTGATAGAGCAGCTCACTTCACGGAAACATAGCCACCTTGTTGAAAATTGAGGAGATATATCCGTCAATGACCCGATGAACTTCGCTCTGACAATCGCTGCTATCTTCAATCAGTTAAATCTCGATCAACGCCGATCAGTGACGACCCTCACACTCAACTGCGAACACCGTCTCGCGACTCTCCACCCCTGTCGTGTCTGTTGACTCCTGAGTCGTGACTCGTCACTGCTGA